CGGAGTGACGTGACGTCACTGTCACGTGCTCAACTCTCCGGAACGTCACGTGACTGCCAAAGCAACCAATCGCTGAGGGGCCATGTGTGTTGTCATATCTTTAAGCCGGGCGAGTATACGAGAAACTAATATTTTTGCACTTAAGTCGGCGTTATTTGTCAATAACGACAAATGCCGATGATTGGTTTTACCGCGTTATTTGCGTGAACATATGCTCTTAAATCGATAAATTCGAGCAACATCAAAGATAGCTGAGGTAAATCGATTAAAAGTTGAAAAATAACCGATTCGTCATGCTTAAAATTGTGTCTCCGAAATGTTTTAAGGTTAATTCTATGACAAATACGTGCTTGATTTATAATTGAACGGACACCTGGGGAGTGGAAATTGAAGGACATCAAGTTGATTGCCACGCGGCTCAGGGTATTAATACTGACATATTTCCTAGCCACATATGAGAGGGTGCTCTTCTGCAGTGTCAAATTGAGAGGAATATTTAAACCATTATTCAAATTAGAAACTTCGAGTTATTGTGTCATGAAGATTTATTTAGATGGAGGCCATGATGGGCGTGCGGACAGCTTTAATCACATGTCACAGTTCATCACCAACTCAATCTCCAGGCGAACTGTTCTTATTAAGGTGACGGGTGCTATTAGTGTTATTCTATTTAATAAGTTTCGGTTTTGTAAGTGGCTATCTCACTAATACTATATATAAAGCGAGACGATATAATTATATATGGAAGGTTCCGTGCCATTTTACTGACACCATGGCAGCGACTTTAACGCGACTTTCCGCAAAAACCGTAAAAGATATAATACTGAAACTTTTTTTGACTGGGTCAAATGCTTTAATGGCCTTCAAATCAGCATAAAAAAATAAAAAATTGGCCAAGGAATACGAATTTTAGTGCCCAAAATTTGGACTCCCAAGTGGTGTCAAAAACGCGAATTAAATAGGTAATAATTATTTTAGTCTTTTGAGTCTTTTGAGTCTTTAGGGCTAGACGGGTTCCTGCTAATATATATAGTTCATCGGATTTAGTTGGTAATTTAGCGCAGATAAAACAACCGATCAAAGTTCTATATTGGATTTATAAATATTATAATTATAACTGTTACTGTTAAGGATATCAAGAATCGAATATTCCTTGGTAATGTTGCCTTTAGTAAATTTCAGAAAGTTTGGATGAAGAGCAAGATTTCAGTCCAAAGGAAGATCAAAATCTACGAGGCACAAGTAGTCTCTATTCTACTCTACAACTGCAACTCCTGGGCTGCACCACTAGCTTCGTTGAATGAACTTGATATTGCTCATCGCAAACACCTCCGAAGAATCCTCAACATCAGATGGCCTACTGGGGTTATTTCTAATGAGGCACTCTATGCTCGTTGTTATGTCACTCCCTTGTCTGTGAGAGTCTCTAAGTTTCGATGGAGAATGTTAGGACATATCTTAAGAGGACAGGAAGACTCACCAGCATACACCTCTATGTTATTTGCTATAAATTCTGATATTTTTATGGAAGGGAGACGGGGTAGACCATGTTTAAACTTATTAGATGTTATTAGAAAAGACTTGACTAGTAGAAATCTTGATATTAGACTTAAGAATTTGACTGATTTCGAAGACCTTAGATTTTTAGCTTTAGATAGGGAGGAGTGGAAGAAGTTAGAAGATGGTTGATGTTTTTGTTTTCTTTTTTATGCGTTTTGATATCTATAAGGTGCCTAGGATGCTCTTTTAAGGAGATATTTCGTACTTTGAAAGATTTACTACTACTACTATAATTATAATTCCTGTATCAATACTCTCAACCAACCTTGATCAGTAAGTGTAACATATTGACATGCTGGTAATATAAGGCTCCATGATACCAATTATTAATATTCATTAAATAGATAATTTTTCATCCAATTTAACTTTGATACATCTGAACATTAAACAAGGCAGCGTTGTGTTTAAGGTGGTTATACAGTAACGAAAAAGCGGAGGCGTTAGTACAAATAAAGCAAGAAGCAAAAACAGTGGGCAGAAGAGACGGCGTCTAGTCGTTTAAGTTTACTATAACAGAGCTAGTGTCACGTACTTTAATGTGAAATGAATAGGTTTGATGATAGTCATAATCTATACTGATTAAAGTAGAGCTAAAAGTGTCAAGCGATAAAATTAGTAATTTATCGTCAGGCTTGTTATCTGTACCGAGAGGGCAGTTAAAATTGTCTGTCGCGCTCAAATTACATATATTCAAATACTTTCTCACTTTCTTTTAAACCTTATACATGAAAATATCGGCTTGGTCAAAATCTAAACGATGTGACCAAAATAAGTTCATGACTTATTTACCACAACATTAAATTCAAATGAAAAATGTAACTCCCAGGATTTAGAAAGGACCTAGGAACCACAGCACCAGACATATAGTTACAGTTGTCTAAACTTGTTGACACGAGCACCATTAGTAAATTCTTCTAACTCTGAGTTATAAATTGTTATATCTGTGGACACGTATACTCGCGACACTATAATTAAATTTAATACTGGAATATCCTAGACTACTCGTCTAACCCTGCCATTCAACACGTGGAGATAGTCTCACTTTTATTAAAGCACTAAAGTGCTATCGGAAATTATTTGAAGAAGTTCCCAAAGTTGTGCCAGCTTTTGGCCCATGTTTATTTCATGTTCACACTCGTCACAAAACTTCGTTGTAAGGTGTGAACTTTAGTTCTTTCTTCAAATTTGGAAAGGCTTATAAGCGGAAGCTTGAGGCTTTTTTAAAGACTGATAGAGGTCACCAATTAGTTCTTGTGAAATTTGGAAAACGGTTTTATAGGTTTTATCATATCTTATATAATTATAAGCGTTTATAATAATATTACTTGTTTATAGTAACCTACTCTTATCTGGAGTCGTGGAGAGCAAATGCAAAATGATTTTGTTTTCTATAATTTCCACGACAACCGATTACTTTTAATTCACTATCAATATCAAAAACAAAAAGGATTGATTTCGTGATTTTGATTAAACTTGAAGTTAAAGAGCTGAGCTTTCCCGCCCGTTTTTGTTATTTTGCATGCATTGAAATAAATGATAAAGTTTTCGCACGACTAGCCCAACATTCCCAATGTGTGGCGTATAGTTTATATTTAGTAAAATTTTAATTATAATACGCTTTTAATTTTAGCGTGAAAGCGTATTATAATTAAAAAGCAGCCTTCTGGCTCTGCAAGTCTTAAATCTAAAGTCGTAATTGTGATAGGATTAGGGCTATCAATTTTTAGCGGAAGGGAAAGTTTTGATCGACCTCCAAAATATGCACACCCTAATTTAACCAACAAGATGCTGGCACGTATTTTAAGTTCGATTGTTAATGTTAAATGAATAGGTTTGATGATAGTGTTATTTAAAAAAGTAGAGCTAAACCTTTTTTATAAATCGATTGTCAAATTCGGGTCGAGTTAAACTTCAAACCAAGCAAGGAAACATCCATTATAGTTATACGGTTAGCTTGGAGTTGGAGGACTTCGCCGCTTCGACGCGCCGCGCAAACTAGCATTCTTGATCTTGCTGACAAGATCGTTGATCTGCTTGATCGCAGAGCAACAATCTGGAAGGGTTGACATCGTCAATCAAACGGTTAGCCTATGACTATTACTATGATATATGTATTACATATTGACATTGTATTATTAATAGAGTCAAAACCTCTAAAAACTATCCTCGCACGGTATTATTCAGTATTCACCGCAGTAGAGATTATTGGAAATGCAAATGATATAAACGAGCCGAACTGAATTACCGAAAACAAATGGCAGCTGTGAAGGAGGTTGTATTTGTAGTGGGACTCTGTTCACGCCCAGATGAGCGGTCTGGTGATGTGCGCGGCGGGACTGATTACTATCTTATCTTTAGCTGCCCACGTGCGCGCGCAACTGTTTAACTGTAAAGTTACAGGATACTCCACGTTATTACTCCTAGTAGCTAATAACATGTATAAGATAAAGAGCTCCAGCCCCTGGAAATAGAGAGCCCCAGCCCCTGGAATCAGGCTTTTAGAAGTGCATGTGTCCGGTCTGTATTTCACTTAATTGAGATAGACTCCGTAATTATAATTACACGTGCCGATCCTCTTATTCAGAAACAAATGCTGGATTCGGAAATGTTAAGAAGAAGTGCGTGCACACGTGCACAAAAACTAGAAGGTAAAACACAAAATATAGAGCACGTGCAATTCTGTGGTATTTCTGGCTAGTTTAGTGATGAAACTGGAGTAGTTTGTGTTATATTACTATATTAATATAGTGTGGCCACGTTACAGGTAGACTAAGAATTGGTATGTCTGTCGACTGTCTGTGGAAGTTTCGGCCGGGTTGTAAGGTGCTTGAGCTCCTGTAAAGAAATAAGAGGGGCATCAACAATTAGTATTAGGATCAATTTAATCCTCCTTTCAGTGGCACATGTTGCCCACTTCCATCGTAAGCCGCCGTAAGAAACACTTTTATAGTTATATCGAGCGTGCTAAATCATTCTACAGTGTAGATATAGGAGTATACACTCGATCTTTGAGATTTTTCTAAAGTTGAAACCAACTCGGATCATATTTGCATACGCTGATTCCGAATCACCCCATCATGACATATGGTAAAATGCTCCCCTAGCGAAATATCGGCGAAAAACTGTCTCGATTGCGTGATATGTCCATGTTATAAGGAAGTTGGTATAATTTCTCGCTAGGGTTAAAGTTTCAGCATATGCCTAGGTTAGGGATTGGGGTCAGATTAGAGGGTTAGGGTTTCGAATAGTCATTCAGGGCCACCTAGAGAACGTGTTAAAAATGTCACGTGACAGTCGAGTGTAGAGTGATTAATCACCATACCTCTTGTTGCAATGTATGAAAGTAAGATGAGTATCCTACTTTCATACATTTCATTCAGTCCTAAAATGAACAAGAGATAAACTTTTCGTAAGTTAATTAAACGCATTTATAATTATATATAATTAAACAATCATCGTCTTATAAATAAACATGGTCTGGTGTTTCGTAATAAAAGTAAAACCCATTTATTTTGGCAATCTTTGGAACGTTTTTTTAGAAAAAACGTTGCCAGCCAGCAGTAATTTTAGACGACTAAATTTGAGCTATTAATGCAATCATCATATTCGAAACTAATTTCATTTAATGGTTAAAAAATCACTCAAAATAATTCTTCAGTAACACCTTGTAACTAGTGATCTTAGAAATCTAATTAAATTGTGTGCGAACAAATTTCACCTTAAAAGATAATTTGAGTAATGTTAAACAGCTTTTGACTTGATATTCTAAGTTTGTGATATCGCCGGGGAATGTATAAAGCTGTGGTTTATAAAAACCGATTAAAAAGTAAAAATAGAAAAACTTCGCTCAAGTTATAAAGTTTTTGTACAGTTCTTCTAATAAAAAATTATATAACAAAATAGTCCTGATATGAGTCATTGGTTTGTAAGCTCATTTATCAATATCAAATAGTCCGGAGTCATTAGTTTGTAAGCTGATTTATTAGTTATCAGTGCCAAAGTAACGTTCCCCAAAATGTAACGCGCAATCCTCGTTAACCTCCGTCGTCAGAATTCTCACCTGGAAATTAATTGAATGAGGTTTAGCATTTTTAGTGAACAACATTGTCTTAGCTAGCTTTAAAAGTTGATGTTCCATGCAATCTACATTTTAGTTCAATTTCGATTACATTTTCAGCCACTGTAGATAATATTTTACCGTGGGGAATTCGGCGAAGACATGTCTTAAGGAATCTGGAGTAACGAAAAGAGTGCATATAATTATCCGGTCTTCTTTTACATTATTCTTCTTCAATTCCTTGATGCTCTGGTGAATGGTTCCGCCCGTATCTGAGGAGCAATAGAAATGATGCTAAATTAAGCAATATTTAATTGTTCTGTTGAATATCATAGCCTCCACAAATCATGTTTTTACCTCATTGTAGATATTTTGGTCTTGTGTAAATGTAATTGATGTAAAATATATTTGTATTTTGAAATAAAATTTGGGGGGGGGGGGGGGGGGGGCCAACCATATTAAAGTATATTAAAATGTAGGATTTTTTCCAATTTTGACCCGGGGATATACTTTAATATACTTTAATATACTTTAATATACTTTAATATACTTTAATATACTTTAATGTACTTTAATATACTTTAATATACCTACATTTTCTCCATTAAAATTTTGAATCCATGTTACTTACCATATACTTGACCAATTTATGAGCCAAAATATATGAATTATGAGTTCAGAGGACTAGCAACTGGCTTATCTTCTAATCTACTAATTGTAGGTATATTAAAGTATATTAAAATGTAGGTTTTTTTTCCAATTTCGACCCGGGATATACTTTAATATACTTTAATATACTTTAATATACCTACATTATAAAAAATTATGTGAAAAATTTTGTTTTATTTAATGTATAGATTAGATTTACCTTTCATGTAAGGTTAGTCTTGTTCAAAGATATTGATACTTGACTAATTTATGAGCCAAAATATATGAAGTATGAGTTCAGGGGACCAGTAATTGGCTTATCTTCTAATCTACTAATTGTAGGTATATTAAAGTATATTAAAATGTAGGATTTTTTCCGATTTTGACCCGGGGATATACTTTAATATACTTTAATATGGTTGGCCCCCCCCCCCCCCCCCCCCCCCCCCCCCCCCCCCCCCCAAATTTATTAGCTTTTAATTTGAGATGCGTTCTTGTCTCATATAACATTTTACTTTTAGAATCAAATTCATAGTCTAAACTGTCAGTTATTGTAAAATTGAGTTTTCCAGCGGTATTTAAAAGTTGAACATTATAAGCTTGCGCTCACAATACTACACAGGTGTTTATTAGTTTGATTCCTGGTGAAGCTACGTAAAGTATCAAATTACCGCATACACCAGTTTAATAAAGTATAACCTCGCTCCAGTTCCCAGCCGCAAACTCCGCGTAGTTATCTTTACTGGTGTAATCCAGACGGGAATTAATTGAATTCATCTAGCCTAGTTAACAGTATAGCCTAGTTAAGCAGTATGTTGGATTGGATATTTATGCGTGATTATGAGGATTTAAACTGAGACAAACTCTCGTAATAGTTATTCCGGTTGAGTAGATATCTGCTCCGCCAAATTACATATTGATATAATAAAGTTCCAGCTAAAAGGGGAAGATATAATGTAGAGGTATTATTATCAGCTCCTGGCGGGGGATATTACCAGTATAACCGCTGGTAGTGCAATTACTACTATAGTATTATATACTATAGCTACTACTAGTGATAGTAGTTTATTACAGGTAGTAATCATGTATCTGCTAACTAGTGAGCTAGTGGCTACCCTCTATCTTTACAGACTTCCTTTCCATTGATTAAAATATCACCGGTATTAAGATATGTAATTACATCCCGGCATCTCCCGGGGATGGTTGTAGATTACGTAATAAAAATGTTCGTTTTTTATCCTCTAGATAAATCTTTAAATAAAATTTCACTCTGATAATATAATAATAATATTTAAGAACCGATCTGATATCCGACTGAATACAGTATCTGTCTTCAATACATTTAACTTACAAAATTTGAAGTTGAAGCGGTGGGGGAGGGGAGAATGAGTCAGGCCTTGATTACATAATATTGCTGTCAGGTGGTGGTCCATAATATTTAACAATTGTAGGAGGAGGAAGATGGAAAAGAGGCACCGATAAAAATACTCATGACCCATGAGTAACCAAGTATTTTTATTATTTTATTTTATTTTATTTCATTATTTTATTATTTTATTATTTTTCTTCGTTGTAGTTGTCATCCGCCTACACATTGTCCAACTTATATTGCAGTACCTTTTTCCATTAGTTGTATGTCAAAATAATGTCATTGTAATTTGGCATGGCTGAAATGTAACGCTTGATTTATATATATAATAATTAATTTAATTTTCAAATTTTAATGGGGCAGTTCGTTTCATCTACAACATAGAAGACAGAACCACGGACTTGGTTCCCTTCTATAAGAAGTCCCACATACTCCCTATAGACCAACGAATCTTCTTTAAAGTTTGTCTATTAACCCACAAATCAGTTCACGGTACTGTACCTGGTTACCACAAAGCTTTACTGGATGTGGACGTAGTGGATATAGACGTTTCAAACACCATGACTAGGTCGAAGAAACCGGAAGACCATCGCATGCTCAAGATACCAAAGAATAAAAAGTCCAAAGTTGACGACAGACATTTCTCAAGCCATGCACCGGTTGTATGGAACTCTCTTCTACTGATGTTGAGAAGTATGACAGATACTAATTATACTAATTATTCATTACGCCTACCTTTCTAGGATCAGTTTCTTTTGTGATTAATATGTCACTGCAGTACTAACCTTTATTTTACCTACATTCTATTGTATCTGCTGCTACTTGTGTGGTTTACAATAAAAGATGTTTTAATTTTGCAGTATGCCTTTAATGAGTGATACTTTTGTTCACATATACACATTTGCTCACATCACTCACAGTCATTTGCTCTGACATGGTTAACCACCTTGTGTTGTTGGGTATATGAGCCGTATGAGCGGGATATAAATACCTCATTTCATCAGGATCAAATAGCAGAAATAGAATTTACCGTAGTAAAAACATCTTCACACCGTAAACTGTACAAACAACTACAAAAGGTTCCTCCAACATTGTCTACAGCGGGCAATATCCTTTATTTTATTCAATTCAATTTAAGTATTCATAACCAAAATACGGTCTCTAAGATCGTCCATTAATAATTTAAGGAGGATTTTGCCGGGACAAAGCATACGCCTTAACGCCTTTATAATTTATCATTCATAGTTACGGCAAAAATAAGATACATTGGCTGGTGTGTTGTCATCACTACCTAAAATATAACCGAACATTCTCCATTTCATCTCATCTACTCATTGAATCGATTGGGGAAATTTCGTATTTCATTTTTTGTATTTCGACGTAAAATTTAGGATATTGAATACAAATTTTTCTTGAAAGAATGACTGTATCATGTTTTACAGGCTCTCGTGATTTGATTATAAGTGGCGGTTTGAAGCCTTATTATTTGTTTCCCGTTCAACATGAACAACAATAGAATGTTTTAGAATCTAAGGAGTTATTATTTAATGCGATCGTGTTACGAAAATCGAATGAGATTATCTTGTGAAACTCGTGCGCAATGCACAATACTTTGAAAGTTTATGTTTTAAGTTGTTACGACTGCTTAGGTTTATTAGACTTTTCACTGGTGTACTCACTTATATTAGAGTACTTATTCTTTATACCGGTTTCTTTATCTTGTCTCACGTTGCAACTTCAACTATTGTGTAGTGTACCCACCCCCCCCCCCTCAACTATTTCTCGAATAGTTGGGGGCCGAGCCGAGCCCAGGAGGGGACACTGCACGCGTTTCAGGCCAGGCATCGTCTGGATAGCTTTATCTAGAAGTAGTAGCAGGTAGCCTACTCTAGTTCGACTACTTAAGTTCGCCACAAATCACCCCTGTCAAACTTCGGCCTTACGTGTCGAACTAGAGTTCAGGTAGCTTACTCTAGTGCAACAGAGTAGAACTTTAGTACGTGTATATATAAAATATATTATATACGAGGATATCAGGACTAATTCGATAATTTTGATCACAAGGCCGAGTGAATTTAGGAAGTGGATTTCACAATTTCTTTCGTGTTGAGGTGTTGTTGTTGGCACAAGCTTTTATCCGGGCCCAGTGACAAATAGGCAGCAGGGGGTGGGGGGGGGGGGGGGGGGCAGCAGGGGGAGCAGGGGGGCGGGGGCAGCATGTTCAGTATAACTAATTATACAAATAACATTTCACTATGATAATTATAACATTCTACCAGGACCGTTTGTAAGATGTCTTACTTGTACAATCATGCTAAGTATGGAATTAAACAGAAAGTCAGGAATATTCCAGAGTTTCATAACATTTCATGATATAATGAAATAATCGCTGTTGGTGCTTTGTACTATGTATTGCTGCTCTCTATAGAACTCATATACTATAACATGTATATACTATACTCATATACTATAACTGTATACTAGTATACTATAACTGATGATTTGTTCCAGTTAATTATAGTGCTCCTCGTATTACACAATATGATTATATATTTCAGCATAATTGTTTTCTACCCAGAACAGCTGTCGACATATTTACGTAGCGGCGTTTCTGTGTCAAAAATTAGTTTAGTCAGCTCAAGGACATGTTCTGTCTTGAACTCTGTATAATATTTTACATTTTGCATTTGCACTTTGCAGCAAAATCATCCGAAATCGTTGTTCTTAACTTTTTGCATAGATCGATTTTTATAAATATTTGGACTTTACACTTTACACGTCCGAATGCGGTTGCAATCTTTAATTCTCAATAAAATTTGATATCTGAGTTTATCTGCTACATGATCAGTATGGATCCGGCGGAGGAGTACAAGCCGCTGGGGGGTGAGGAAACAGCAGAGAAAACAGAAGAAGAGGACAAACTAACAGTGGAACAGATGGTTGACAAGTTAGTTTGTTAAAATACTCAGAATAATTATTGACTATAATTGTAGTTACAATTTATGAATATGAGAGCTCTCAAGCGAACCACATAATAACGAATGTTCTAATATATTACAGTGGGGACTGGGGATTAATTACTATAATTACTGGAGATTAATTACTACAATTACACTTCCTTCATTTTTCATTCTAGCCGAAAATAATTATTTCATCCACAGTACAATCGGATCAAAAACCTCCAAAGCGTCTATTGGGAAATTTATTGGACTCTTTCTTGTGGGTATAGCGGCAAGGATTACAGGCCCTTTCCTTACTTTCGCTCCCATCTTTACTGGTAATTACACTTTTAAGCTTCACAAATAACTAACTATTGAAATAAAGTTCTGAATCTCACATCCCAAACAATGCATTTTGTCTAGGGCATCAAGAAACGCCGCAGTTTAAGATTTGTAAATCAAAATTTAAAGAAGATAGTAATTCTCTAACTTACCCCAGGTTTTTTGAATTACAAAGATTGGGAATGTGTCTCTGAGAGATGTGACGAACTAGCTGCCAACTTTACAGAGGAACCCCCCTTGTTTTACAGCCGGAACACTATCTGTGACAATGCCTTGACACCTCACGTTGACTTCAGGTGGACTATAGAGAGGACAAGTTACGCTCTGGAGTGGGGACTCATCTGCTCAAATGAGGACAAGGGCTCCAATCTAAAGAGTTTCTTCTTCCTTGGGGCCTTCATTGGTCTGATTACTGGGACGGTTTTATTTGATAGGCTCGGAAGAAAGACGACCTGTCTACTAGGACTAACAATATCTTCCCTCTCCTGTATGGCTACCTACTTTGTTAACAGCTACCAAATAATGCTGCCTCTGAGAATAATCCACGGGTTCGGAGCCTTTATAGTCGTGTCTGGAGTTGACCTGCTCTCCATTGAGTTCACTCCTTCTAACATGCGGAACCTCAGTCAGATCCTGAGCAACGCTCTCTGGAATGTGGGGTCTTTTCTGCTGGTTGGAATCTCATACAGCTTGAAGGATTGGCACCAAATATTTCTGGTGCAGGGTTGTGTGTTGGTTGCAACAGCAATACCTATCCTCATCTTCCCAGAGTCACCTAGATTTCATCTGGTTAGAGGAAGGCAGAAGGAAGCAAGAACGACGTTCAAGAAAATCTCAACGATCTTCAAGACCGATAAAATATTGGAAAGTACAGAAATTACCTACAAACACTACGATAGCAACTACCTGGGCCAGATAAAAGACTTCAGAAGATATCCTGTAATGCTGAAGAACACCGTCGTGTTGATGATATGCTGGCTGATGATCTCAACTGTTACCTACGGTCTCATGTTTAGCTGGGGAAAGCTAGGGGCTGATATTTACCAGAGTCTCTTCTTTGCTAATTGCGGAGGCCTAATCGCCAAGGTAACTGGGATGAACTACTACATTATGCACTGGTTTGGCAGAAGGAAGGCTGTGATGATCAACTTTGCAGGGCTAGCCTCTGTTTTCTTCTTATCTATTCCCAGCTATGGAGTTCGTCTCTCTGATACTTGGAACTTGGATCATGTGGTGTGTTTGTTCGCCACCCTCTTTATAGCGGGGGTGTGGGCTGCAGTGGCTCTGCTTACTAAAGAGTTGTCTCCAACCTCTCACCGGGGAATGATATACTGCACCTGCTCTGCAACTGCTAGGATTGGTGCTTTCGCCGGACCCTACTTGACACTGCTCTACAACACTTTGGACGCCAGGATAGTGCTCGCTATATTTGGAGGCTTAGCAGCCTTCGCCACTTTTGTGGGTTTCTTCAATTCTGATAGCACTCGGAAACCTATCCCGTCAACTCCGGAGGATCTACTGCAACCCCATCCACACACTGGACACGACAAACTACAGGACGAATATGACACTTAAAAATTACAATCTTCAGGATAATTATGACATTTATTCATTTACTCGAAACCGTTTTCATTAATTAACAAAGAACAGAAAAATTGTTAAACCGGACTTTAAAAATAATGATAATGATTAAAAAAACACCTTTACTGTCAGTAAAATTAACATCAATATACTCAGTGAAGTTCACGGGGTATATTGATGCTAATTTTAAATTTACATACATTTTATCGTGACCGTGGCCGTCTATGCAGTAATTGTATTTGTAAGTAAAATAATTATTTAGTGCTTTAATATGATGATTTCAACTTTACAATCCTAAAGGCAACTTTAACTGTGCTCAGCTATGCTTGTTAAATAAGCTCCATTTTAATAGTTTCAACAATATCTAATCTTGTGTAAGTTTTTGACTTTTAATAGATAATAATTATTATATGTATTTTTGAGTAAACATTGGCTGGTACTTGCTACAAATTTTAACTGATTAAATTTAGCCTTTGTTACAATTTTTACGTTTGAGTTACTAAACTATGATGATTATATCATATGATTTTTACTTGATAGAGTGCTTATCAGTGGCGTAACGAAGGGCCCTGCTGACCCCGCTGTGCAGGGGGGCGCCGTCTTAGGGGGGCGCCAAATCTTCGTTTGAATGTGGGACAATTTCGAAAACTTAACTAAAGTACTAGCAAAAATGCGCGTTTTACTCTAGATACACACTTTTTTAGAGATTTTACCGGCGTATCCTCTAAAATCACCTAATTTGTTCAATTTTAGGGAGGGGCACCAAAAGGGGAGGGGGCGCCAACAGGGGGGCGCCTTTTCGGCAGGGGGCGCCAACAGGCAACGTTACGCCACTGGTGCTTATCTTAAAGTTAAATGTTTTTACAGGCTCTAGTGATGTAGTTTTACGAAGATTTCAAGCCTTATGTTGTGTGTTTCCCTTCGTGTCCAAAAGCATTACAATTTGTAAACTTTATCAAAGTTCGTAAAAAAAGAAGATTGCTCTGAAAACTTACTCATAAGAGGGTACATCAGTAGAACGTTTCTTTCTGCGATGTCAGGCGGCAGTCTTACGTATATCACCTGAACAAACTGCTAATAAAATATGAAGAAACGAAAGTTGGCATATTGCTAACTTCTCGCTGACTTTTCTCTAAACTCTGATGAAAGTTGAAACAGTCGCTAGGGCTAATTAAAACTTGACACAACTTGCAGTGTGATGATTACCTTACTCGGGAATATTATAGCGGGTTAATTTATGACTGGGAAAATTAATAACCGGGAAAAATATGGCGGACTTTCTCAAAACCCGCCAAATTATCCCGGTCATGTATTTACCGGTGGCCGACCTTTCAAGTTTTTTTTCAGAGGTCAACAAATTTTCAACCGAAATTTCTGTTTTTGTTAGGTACTTGTTAAAGAAGTTATAATTTAAATTTACAGTTACTGGGGGGGGGGGGGGTTCACCCTGATTTTTTTTGTGAAACTTGGTTTCGAGATAGCAGTTGACCAACAAACTAGGACCTGTGATCGAACTTTTGAGGGGGTCCCGGACCCCAACCGCCAAACGGTGCCCGCGGGGCAGCCACGCCCATATTTGGTCCAAATTAGGCTCAATTTAGCCAAATATCCAGAACATGCCCAAAACCCAGATTTTAGGTGCTCTACTTGTAGCTAGTGGTCTCCTGAACTCGTATATGAATTTTCATCAAGATTGGAAAAAAGATGACTGAGTTATGAGCCAAAAACCATATGGCCATATTTGGGCATACGCAACAAATTTGATCGATTTTGGCCCATAAATTGGTCAAATATCAATATTTTTGAATGAAACCAACTTTATATGGAAGGTAAGCCTATACTACACATTCTCTATGATTATCAGCTCAGTATCTAACTAACTGTGGATTCTGTGTTTAAATAATCGCAAAAAATGAACAAAACCGCCAGTGGCGTAACGAAGGGCCCTGCTGACCCCGCTGTGCAGGGGGGCGCCGTCTTAGGGGGGCGCCAAATCGTCGTTTGAATGTGGGACAATTTCGAAAACTTAACTAAAGTACTAGCAAAACTGCGCGTTTTGCTCTAGATACACACTTTTTTAGAGATTTTTACCGGCGTATCTTCTAAAATCACCTAATTTGTTCAATTTTAGGGAGGCGCACCAAAAGGGGAGGGGGCGCCAACAGGGGGGCGCCTTTTCGGCAGGGGGGCGCCAACAGGCAACGTTACGCCACTGAAAACCGCCCATATCTCAGTTCGCGATATTTGCAAAACTGATTTCGTTCAAAACAATAGAACTCAATAGGGTTTCAATATTTTTACATGACATTTTCAGAATCAACGTAGAATCGCATTTCGACCTTAAGTTTTGTATTGGAATTTTAAAGGCCTAACTCAAAATGTTAGGCCCGGTGAACCCACCCCCTTAAAGGAAAATAAATCTATAGCAATAATAAGTCAAATATTCATTAAAGCGTATTTTCATTCTCATTATCGCTAATGTCCCCTCCATTATCATTATTGATATCCCCCTGCTGCTGACCTTCAAATTCGAAGTTGTATTGTTGTCTTAATAAGACTTTGTCCGCTAATGGTCATTGGTAACCAATCAAATCAACGGCCATACACGAAAGAAGCCACAGTGAACATCACTGTTGAAGACACGCCAGTGCAGCAAGTTAGTGACTTTACGTACTTAGGTACAATTATTTCCAGCGACGGTACTATCGACCGTGAGCTGTCAGCTAGGATTCAGAAAGCTTCCGGAGCCTTCAATCAACTGAGTAATATATGGAAAAACCGCAACATCCAGTCTTATACAAAGATCAGGATTTATAAGGCAGCGGTTTTGACAATATTGTTATATGGTAGTGAGGTTTGGAACACAACCAAAAAGCAGCTACATCGCTTTGAGGTGTTCCATCAGCGTTTCTTGAGGAGAATACTTAGGATAAGATGGCTCGATCGGGTTAGAAACACTGAAGTGCTGGAGCGTGCAAAGATAAATCCAGTAGAGACGTACATAGGAGCAAACCGCCTGCGTTGGTTTGGCCATGTCACCAGAATGCCAGACACTAGGCTTCCTAAGTACCTGCTTAACTGGACCCCTGCCCATGGGAGAAGATCTAGGGGTCGTCCAAGAAAGAACTGGAGGAAATGTTTGCTGGATGATGTGCATCGTTTACAGGAAATACTGACATAGACCTAGAAGGAGCGAGCGAGATGGCTAGTGACCGCAAACTTTGGAGGGAGATGATACGTCACAAACGGGAGTTCATTGGTGCAGGCCACTCGAATGATTGAGGAGACCTAATCAAGTACAAGTACCGCTAATGGGGCTACTGCTCTGAAGGTCAGCCGGAGCTTGATTTCCTGCCCACCGCTTGGTATTGGGGAACGTCTTGGCTTTGCATCTTCAACTGCTCCAGTAATCAATCCACCGTGGACCATGAAATAGTGGCACAGTTTACTCACTTCATGGGCAAGAAAAGTGAGAATCATGGTTCACCCTGAAATCTGATTTCTATAACCAAATTGTGATTTTTATAACGAAATTATGGTAGCAACCGCCAATAAAGTTACAGCCCTCCATCCACTAGCACATATGAGACTTCAGGTAAAATATGATGATCACCTCCTTGGAACCCCATAATCTGAGTCGGCGGGTTTTTTTATGACTGGTAAAATTTTTGACCGGGAAAAATATGGCGGAATCTTCCAAAACCCACCACTTTATCCCGGTTATAATAATCCCGAGTAAGGTAGTTATTTAGAATAACATCAACAATCAAGTAGCAGGATTGAAACAGTTCATACCTTAGGAGGTCTACAGGAATCATCGTCATCATGTCTTATCAACATCTTCCCTATTCTTATTGAGCGACAGCATTCCCTTAACGATTTCTCCATTGCTTCTCCTGAAACGAACGTATCCGATCGTGATTTGGTAGTTGGCTGGGGTAAAGTTTGTCAAATTAAATGATTACTGTAAACTTCCGGTACTAAGATCAGTTACGTGGCGAACAAGTGGTCGCGCGCAACCGCGCGCGTTTCCAATAAATTACGATTTGCACTTGGTATACAAAACTGTCGTTCGGATTTCGCGCCCTATCGGAGTGAAACCATATTGTGTTAAGGACCATGATGACGATGTTTTGTTACCGTAAAGTTTCGGCTTTTATCAGAAATGTAAAGTTTTTACTAATTACTTGAATGGGATTGCAAGGAATTTTACTTGATTGAGATTCAGGGATTGCAGGGTGAAGGAAGCTAATTAAACCTATTTTCGATACAAACGACGTCAAAAATTTTACGACCTAAAGCGACGATGGGGAGGTTTAAAAATGCCCCTAAACTAAAGGACAATAAGAAGAAACCTCCTATTATTTAATACAATATTAAAAGAAGATATACTTTAGAGCTAATTTTATAACAAAGGAGTAACATTGAAAGGATTAGTTCGCTTATTTTATATTACTTACCACTTCTAACTAGACTAACTCCACAGTTTCCTTTATTAAATGCCTTTCCTTCATACGGCACACCTGTGGGATATTCTGAATATCATCTCTATACCAAAGCTATGTAAGGTATATGGGTAGCCTCTTGTTCTGAATTACAAACACTCTTATTATAGCGGAATATTGAACATGTAACTGATGATATACAAATATAGGGTATAATGAAGGATGATAACCTTTAGGAGTTATCACTGTCTTGTCGTGGGTAGGTAAGAAATTGAGGGCTTCTTCAATCACAAGTCTTATCTGGGAATTAGGAGGTAGTAATACAGTAGGTACTACTACTACAAAAGAGTACTACATGTAGTAGTAGAATGTTACAGTTAAATACAATATCACACATTTAACACATGTAAAGACACCACTGTTAAATACGAACCAGTCTGTCCGCGTTAAAGACAAAGTCTCCGTGACAAGTCGTAGCGTTCCTCAAGATAGTCCTTAGCCAGGATATCTGATTGTTGGATTTTAGAACGTGTAATCTAGAAAATTCGTCGTCTGTTGCTGCCCCAGAGTATTTGGTAATAGGGAGTATAAAGTTATCAGGAGGCGTCCCAGCCATCATGCAGACCGACATAACTAGTGTGGGGGGGTATAGTATAGTACGTGTAGTCACGTGTAGTCACGTGTAGTCACGTGTAGTCACGTGTTGTCACGTTTTGTCACGTGTTGTCACGTGTTGTCACGTGTAGTCACGTGTTGTCACGTGTTGTCACGTGTTGTCACGTGTAGTCACGTGTTGTCACGTGTAGTCACGTGTTGTCACGTTTTGTCACGTTTTGTCGCGTTTTGTCGCGTGTTGTCGCGTGTTGTCGCGTGTTGTCGCGTGTTGTCACGTGTAGTCACGTGTTGTCCCGTGTTGTCACGTGTAGTCACGTGTTGTCACGTGTAGTCACGTGTTGTCACGTTTTGTCACGTGTTGTCACGTGTTGTCACGTGTTGTCACGTGTAGTCACGTGTAGTCACGTGTTGTCACGTTTTGTCACGTGTTGTCACGTTTTGTCGCGTGTTGTCGCGTGTTGTCGCGTGTTGTCGCGTGTTGTCACGTGTAGTCACGTGTTGTCACGTGTAGTCACGTGTTGTCACGTGTTGTCACGTGTTGTCACGTGTAGTCACGTGTTGTCACGTGTTGTCACGTGTTGTCACGTTTTGTCGCGTGTTGTCGCGTGTTGTCACGTGTTGTCACGTGTAGTCACGTGTTGTCACGTGTTGTCACGTGTTGTCCCGTGTAGTCACGTGTTGTCACGTGTTGTCACGTGTTGTCACGTGTAGTCACGTGTTGTCACGTGTTGTCCCGTGTTGTCACGTGTTGTCACGTGTTGTCACGTGTAGTCACGTGTAGTCACGTGTTGTCACGTGTTGTCACGTGTTGTCACGTTATTCTGTCAGAACAAGACTGTCTCGTCGTTAGTAAATTATAATCAATCAGTGTGCACTTCAGACAACGTTACTGGCCATTTTAACTGACAAATTGACTGCTTGGGATTGTTTTGATTAAATTGAACCTTTGCTTCCTTAAAATAAGTAAAACTCAATCATAACAAAAATCAAAGACCGAATATCCTATGTAACAAACACAACTAGTTAATAAAAACACCAGGACTCGCATGTTTGAAATGATATAATTATCCAAAATAAAGGAAAATCCAAAATAAAATATGCAAATTGTAGGATGGAAAATTCATATGTAAACAAGCGGTATATTATATCCATGAAATATGAATGAGCATATTCATAAAACATTTCAGCCACATTCATTACCACATTTATGGCAAAGACTAAGTCTATTCAGTCTTCTTGATTGCGTCAGCTTTAGGTGCATCCTTGTGGTAGAGGAATACGAAGCTGAAGATGAAGAGGCCACCCATCATAGAGAATGCGCTGGCGTAGTAAGGGTACGCGGAGGGGATGAAGCGCTCGTACTCAGTGTGATGGAATGGGCGCACTGATACCTGTTAGTTATTAGTTTTATTTAATGTTTTTTCAATATTCAAAGGCTATTTACAAATTTTAAAAAATGTAAAATAACTACATGTAGTTATAACTCTATTCTGCCATCTGCAATGAGTCAAACTTTTAAAGAACCCTGCAATGATATATTTAAAACAGGTAATCAGTATAAATATATGAGTTACCTGGGTGGTACTGTAAAGATGAGTAAATCCTATCCTGTCATAGTCCACCTTGAACTGATACACTCCGTACACATCAGGTACTTTAAATTCAACCTGGAATATTATTAATTTAAAGTAGTTGCTACTCTGTAATTCTTACATTTATAAACATTTGAATTTTAAACGTCCGTTAAATGTTCTAGTCGCGGTAACGTCATGACAGATCAATAAAATATTCAACTGAAGACTCTTACCTTGAAAACTCCCTCAGCATCTGGCACAAGGAAAGTTCTGACAAAAGGATCGATTCTCTGAAAGTCAAGCTGAACATCGGAACCCTTGAAAGCCTCCCAGTTGCCATTCCTCATCTCCTCGATAAGAATGGAGTACTCTACTTCATCCGTAATCCTGTAAGCTGCATCAGACGGTGCTTCTCCAATCTACAAAACAGGGACATATTAGTTGACATATTAGCATTTAGCACATATTAGTTAACATATTAGCATTTATCACATGACAAGTCCTTATCATCAAGGTGATAGTTCTACTCCCAATAGGGGGTCGTTTACATATTACACTAGCGTAATCGTTTAGAAACTCCCCCCTCCCCCTCAGTGATTTTCTTTCAAATCGAATATCTTTCCGTGTCTTTTATTAATGATTAAAATTAATTTCCATCAAATCAAAGTTAAGTACACTTTACCTTGTTGTGCTTGACATTGCTGAATCTGAGATCACCGTTCCGTCTGAGGGCCCAATCAACAACATTTGAGGCAAACTCCTGGTTCCCAGCAGCCTCTACCCCTCCTTCAGCTCCCTGAGCCTTTACATCAGCATTGTAAAACTTATCACTAAGCATGTCGTGAGAGCCAAATATGACAATCCTAGCATTGTTGCGTGCCTGCATGCCTGCAACCAATAGAAGACTAGATCCAATAGCAAGGGGGTACTCCAGAATGTCCTGGTTAGCAGCGTGAGAGTATGCAGTAGGAGACGCTCTCAGAATATCAATCACTAGGAGGTTGTCTGAGTCCGCTGCCATGCCAACACCTTTAAATAGAACTGGTTTTGGGGATTCTCCAACAATAACAGAAGTGGAGATGAAACTGTCAGCAACAATGAGGTCGTGATCACCAACATCAGACACATCGTAGTTCATGTGGTCTATAACAGAGGTTCCTTCATCATCTATCTCAATGCCAACTTCTGCTGCAATTTCCTTGATTGGGTCACCGATATCAGAGCTAGCACTCATCACTATGTTACCTCCGTCATCCAGGAAAGTGAGGAAATCGTTGGCAGCCACACCATTACCAAAACTAGCAACAGAGGGAGCCAAAATAACAATATTATTGTAGAGAGACTCTCCGTACTTCTTAATGGTCAAGGAACTGTCAGTAGCATATTTGTACACAATGTCTGCGTCTTTAGTTCCCAAATCAGCAAGGAATGAGGAATGTGATTCTTTTGTCAGGACATTTTCAAGAATGACTAGAGTTCTGCAAGATGCAACTGCCAGCAGTAGTGCTATGACGATTGCTTTCTCCATCACTGAGCCTAAGGTGAAATTTCAGCATTTGTATTAATATATATTATATTAATTAAGTAAGTGTGAATTTTATAAATCAGTGGATTTGAAAAAATTTTCAAGTATTGAAGATATACATATTTACTGTTACTGTATAACATGCTTGCAGGTATAATTAGATGCAACACTGAGGTCGGTAACAACTGTTGACTAGACAGTTGCAGTTGCAGAATTGGACACAAGAAAACTAAGCTATAAATGAATACAATGATAATTTCTAATAACCAATCAGAATTTAATCGCAAGTTTTTAAAAACAGTGTATGTATACTGAGTCTCACATTAAAATCTGACATTTAAAGTTGTCATTTTGAAAATGCAGCAAATTTAGAAGCACCCAGTGTATAACACTGATTCTAAAACCACAGCAGTTTGGTATAATTTCAAAAGATCTGTTGCCACTTTTATAGTCAAATAATTTACACCAACAAAAATGTTTTATCTGGGGCTGTAACTGTTCCAGGATTTATGCTCCATTAATCCTCTGGTTTTTAGAAAAGCTGTTTCTAAAATGTTCACTCTTCTCAATCATTGAAACATCAGGGATCCAGTGTTTTAATTTATCAAACATGGTATGTACACAATACCATGAAGAACAATCAAATGTTCCCTCTCACATTCAATAACCTGCTGCACTGTTAACCTTGGTTAGTGAGCTAGGCCTGATACGCCACACCTTGTAACTGGTGCTTAAACTACTTCAGGAATGATAATACATTTACACTCCAAGGTTTTCAAATGTTGTTTTCAAAGGCATATGGTCAACTCCACTTTCAGAACGTTTTAACACGGCACTGTCTGAGAACAGTCCGTCTCGCTTGTTGTTTAGAGCCTGAGGGGACTTGAGGGTGACGGATGAGTCAGGATAAGAACGTTATTTTTTTCGAGATTAAAACATATTGATATCATAAATTGGCAAAGAACGGGGACCGAAGAATCTATAGCAAATAGTCAATTTAAAACATGCTATGTTCGAAAAAATGTATTGATTAAAACCAAGTGTACCTTTTCTCGGTCAAGTTTTTGTTTCTTCAGAGTGTCCTCCTTTTCCACTGCTCGTCTGCTACTCCGTCGCTTCTTGGGTGTGAACCGGTCGAAAACATACTCTGGATCCGCGAGGACTGCTGACCTGGTAGAGTTGAGTGTATATACCGCAATTTACACAATTTATACACCGCTACAACACGGTCAAATGTATACATCCTTTTAGAAGAGATGCGTGTTATATAACTTGCTCCAGTCAGCGGCTATTCAGTTAGTCGGATTGAAGGTGTGGTATCTGTCGACGGGACAGCTTGCCGATAAAAAGGCTGGCCCCCGGAAACTTGAGTCAGTGTCCATTATACATGCAGTGACATCACGCACGACCATGGGAAATCAACCAATAGGCGTCTAGCGTTGGTTCACCTCAGAAGACGTTTCCCTGAATTTTGTAGTGGATTTTGTAGTGGATTTTGCGCGCCGAACGTACGTTACAATATTTATCATTGTAGAATCTACGACGCTAGAAGTCAAAAGTCTCAATAAACTGCTCGTATTTATACTTTTATAGACACTGAGATATAGAAATCTAAGTAACACATCCAACCCCATTCAGGCCGCCCATCCAAAATAGCTTGAAATCTGTGACAAATCCCTAAAATCCAGAGTAAGAATCTTTACCCCTAGGCCCAGAAGGGGATTTGTGTTGCTGAGTATTTGAAACATGTTTTGGTGGTTAAATAGGTAGTACATATCCCAAACAAAGACCAAGTTTTAAGCTCTTGAACCACTCAAGCCACTCCCAGAGGCCATGCCAATCCCAAAATTACTGAAATCCAGGATCTATTCAGAAACAATCAGAAATTTGAATAAAAGAACTATCAAATCATGAGACTCAAAAACACTACACGAATCCACCAGATTGAAGTAGAACTTCAATCCTAGAAACTGTACCTGAAGTAGGACCATCTCCCAGAAGCCAGTCAGATCTGAAACTTTGGTAGGAGGTGTGTAAGTAGGACTGAGGGCGTCGTCTATCATACGCTGATACTGCTTTCTCAGCTTACTCGTCACCAACAGATGCGCTTTTCCGCTGAATGCTTCCATAACACCCCTCGCTAAAAAAATAAGGGTTTAATGGGTTCGTCACAATTTTAGGGAGGGTGATTATAAATACTAAACACAAGTGAAGGGTGAATGTAGTAGAAGTAAGTACAAACCATTTTCCGATATCTGAGATTCCGGGGTGTTGTAACTTTCAATTTCATCCGCAAGTTTTAGTAACTTAGTACCTGCTTTGTCCATGAGATCCTGACAGCCCTGAACTCCTGCCACGTGCTCCGCTCCGAAATGTTTTAACACGGCACTGTCTGAGAACAGTCCGTCTCGCTTGTTGTTTAGAGCCTGAGGGGACTTGAGGATGACGGATGAGTCAGGATAAGAACGTTATTTTTTTCGAGATTAAAACATATTGATATCATAAATTGGCAAAGAACGGGGACCGAAGAATCTATAGCAAATAGTCAATTTAAAACATGCTATGTTCGAAAAAATGTGTTGATTAAAACCAAGTGTACCTTTTCTCAGTCAAGTTTTTGTTTCTTCAGAGTGTCCTCCTTTTCCACTGCTCGTCTGCTACTTGGCGGGTGTGAACCGGTCGAAAACATACTCTGGATCCGCGAGGACTGCTGACCTGGTAGATACAGGTACCATATGATTTTTTGACGTATTGTATACAGCTTGCACTTAACCATATGGTTCAGACAAAAGGACAATTAAACTGGTGTTTTGTTTTTAACGGGTGATACACGTAAAATATTACCTTCGACAAGTTTAACTCGGCGCACGTCCTGGCAGGTTATAAACCTACAATTTTGTTTTAGTTTGTCTACCGCGTAACTATACTTGAATCCGTTAAGTAATAAGTTTAACTACATGATCGAGATGTTGATTGTATTGATAAAACATGGATTTTAAGGCATAAGGAAGCATTGTTGAGTTCTGAAACCAAGTTTAATCGATTTCTCGTGCGATTTTAGGTCAGGAATGGTCATCAAAATAAATTTAAAACAATGACGATATTTTGGTAAATTTCTAGCTTTCTGCCAGAAAATAAATTTTCGGTTTCTATAGGGGTTTAATTAGGTATAAACTACAGTACAGCTATACTTACACCCACATTCACATGCATGCAAGCTCACCTGGTCCAATGAGCGGGAAACGGAGAGGAAGGTCTGGTGACGTCATAGTCACGTGACCTCAGGCTCATAATCACGTGACCTAAGACCCAATCAATTGGGTTCTGGCCTGGTCAGCCCCCTGTCACCCGATCTTGAGGTGACGTACGACACCTCGTTAACCCAATCAATGTCTGGAAGGCTGCAAATTTTCACATGCCAAATCCACAAGATTCTTAAAGAGTTGTGCGAGATGACGAAACATAGAGGCCGCAGAATTATGAGGACTACCAGATCCTGGTGGAACCTAAGCGATCCATGATATCACGACAGGCCCTAATGATCTTACAATTTATTTTATACATAATTTTTTGACAACCCAGAAACCTTGTAGCGCGATGCACTACTGGGTCGCGCGCGCGCATCCAATAATGCTTCTCGCAACCACAGATCGGCGAGATGCAAAGGATTGACATCGTGAATCAACCAGAAACCCTGACCGGATGGGGCTTAACTTTACAAGTAAAAGAGTTGGAGAATTTCGGTTTTTTGTGACATGTTCTTCTTTTAAAAGTAATAATGTTACCTCCGCAGGAGGAAAATTCAAGACAACGTAATTGTTGAGTTATCTCAAAATCTCCAGAAAAGTCTCATTTCGGGTCGATCAAAAGTTTGCAACGTTAACTTTGCATGTTCCTGTACCCTGGTTGGCTGAATTGTGTCACGCGCGTGGTAGCTGCTTAAACATTGGAATGCACCACGCGTGCAAATCATTTATATCACGTTGTGACACCCACGGTCGTTTCACCTAACGATACAGGGGGAGCCGCGCACTCGTGCGCGGCGGGTCATACAACGTATGACAACAAATCATGCTTGTTGTCGCGCGCGAGGTCGAGCCGTTTGTTTAAATTAAACCAACTCTAGTACCACCACCAGCCAGTAACTTTTCCTGGGAAATGCAGTTGGCAGTACTTCTTTCAATTTTTTAAGTAGCGCACGCCGCTTGCAGCTTGCTTTTTCAGTTTATGAGTTGCAGCACAACAGTTTTTTCCTATTGTTATAAATTTGGTAACATAATTTGCTTCGGAATGTGAACGATACAAATATAACGAGCAGCATGATATATATTTAATAAAATAATATATTATTAAGCTGTATTTGGGCCTTTTATGCATTGCAAGTGTGCATGCGTAAAAGGACAAAAATGGATAATATTTTACTTATGACTTTAGCATTTAGATAAATACTATACAGTATAACTTCTAATTTGACAGAATCGTAATAAGCTTGATCAATTGTTGCGCGCGCCATTTTCTTCTCGAAGTAGCGCGCGCTGGGTCAGTCCTTTAACAATGAAAAATTTAGGTTAAGACATTTTTGATTTTGAAAAGAATGTTTCAATTTCATTAAATCTTCAAATATTTGTTTGGCTGAGTTGTAGCGCAGTGCGTTACTGGGCCGCGCCGTGCACTCAATTATGCTTTTCGCAACCATATAAATCGGCAAACTGTGCTACTGGGCATTGCCAAGCTGCAATGATCAATTGACTTTTTATCGTCAATCAACTGGCTGTTCACATAACCATGTGTTGTATCAAATAATGACCCCTACTGTCGTGTCGCTTCACTATATAGTTTCTACGATACAGGGGGAGCCGCGCACTCGTGCGCGGTGGGTCATACAACGTATGACAAGCCATGTGTATATGCGTACTGCGTGACGCGCTTGTTTCACAAGTTGAAACGGCGGTCGCGCGCTACTGCGGTCGCGCGCTACTGCAAACGAAAGGGCTCTTGTTAGAGCAAACTGGCTGAGCTAATTACGACTCCATAATTTTTTAAAGTATCAAAATACTATGGACGTTATTGACAAAAAACTATAAAAACTGTCGGAGGACTTCGACGCGCCGCGCCGTGCGAACTAGCATTCTTGCTTCGCAGAGCAACGATCTCGATGGTTTGACATCGTCAATCAAAAAGAACTGCAAAAGATCGCGCGCGTCAACCAAAAAATTGTTGGAGGACTTTGTATTGCCGCTTCGACGCGCTGCGCAAGCTAACATTCTTGCTTCGCATCGACAATCTCGATGGGTTGACATCGTCAATTAACAAATTGCTGCAGCTGCACGGTGTTATTATTTTTTCATATTTTTATGCAACTTTTGGTATTATATCTATTAAATCGGAGAAAATTTGTTTTACTTAATAGTCATTTAGGCCACCTAGAGCTAGTAGAGATCGTTTTAAAAAGTCACTTGACAGTCGAGTGAAAAGTGATTAATATCAACCTAGTCAAAATCAATTTTTGACGATGCCTAACCACTAATTTTATAAAATCACAACAGAACACGATTCAAGTTTGATTTGCTATGCGAAGCATACTTTTTCTAATTTGAAAATTCAATTAATCATTATATATATATAAATCAAGCGTTACATTTCAGCCATGCAAAATTACAATGACATATTTTGATAAACTAATTGATAAAAGGTACTGCAATATAAGTTGCTTAATGTTTGGCCGGATGACAACCAACTAAAAGAGAAAAATAAACTTGATTACATAATAATTAATTCGGCTAAACCAACACATAGCAAGAGCCACATTAACGTTGGGGCCGTCAACTCATAGCACTCCGGGGAATCAAAAGAAAACAAAAAGCCCAGCACATTTAATTGGACTGGATGACGTATTTTTCTAAATTGTAAATTTGTTTATATAAATTTGGTCAACCATAAAAATTCTGAAAAAGGAGAGGGTTTGTAAAAGGAAAATCTTGTTTGTCAAATCTTTTGGAGATTTTCGACACTATACTTAATTTAATAGATGAAGGTGCTCCTGTGGACTTATTTTATTTTGATTTTAGTAAAGCTTTCGATTCTGTTCCCCATTATCGCTTGATTAACAAGCTAGAGAGTTTAGGGATAACTGGTAAAGTTTTAGATGTAATTACAGATTTTATCTCAAATAGAACTATGAGAGTGTGTGTAGAAGGTGAAACTTCAGAGTGGAAGATTGTATGGTCAGGAGTTCCCCAGGGATCAGTCCTTGGACCATTACTATTTGTGTTATTTATTAATGATTTACCAGATAACATTAAAAGTAAAGTTAAAATATTTGCTGATGATCTTAAGCTTATAGCTAATGCCTCCGAGCATGAAACTATAGCTAATGATCTGAACGAACTAGAGATGTGGGAGAGTAAATGGCTTTTAAAGTTTAATCCTACTAAGTGTTCAGTAATGCATTTAGATGTTAACGATAACCCAAGATCAAGTTATTCTCTTAATGGAGTTACATTGGCAGAATCTGTACAGGAAAAAGACTTGGGAGTTATAACCCATAACTCTCTGCTTTGGAATGAACAGATTACGGCTTCAATATCTAAAGCCAACAGAATGATATGTTGGATTGTTAGAAATCTGATTATCAGGGAAAAATCTGTGATGATATCCATTTACAAAGCTTTAATAAGACCCCATTTAGAGTATTGTGTTCAATTTAGTAGAGGCTCTTACGGGCAAAAAGACGTGTTTTCTGCTACGAGTTTAGAGACCTAACCGCTAATTGGACACAATAGTATGATGTCTAAGGATCGATAATATGTTAAGAAGTATAAATTTGGCCTTATTAGTCACGTGCTATACCAATGCGCGTTTTAAACTTTGACAGTCTATTACTCTAAGGCAAATAGAGTAATTATATTCATATTTTGTCAGCAATAAGATCACATTATTTTCTATTTAGTGTGAAAATATGAGCTAGAACGGACATAATCTCGCTGAGTTATAGCTGTTTGAAATTTATGATGAACGCGCGGGTGCCAATTGATAACAACTAAATGCTTTTGCGCGTAGTGCGCGTCGAAAATTTGGCAAAAACGCTTGCGGAGTGAAAATATTCAAACTTCGATAAAGTATATGAAGTGGGTACTTCTCGGAAAGGAAAAATTTAGGCAAACACGATGTGACTATTTTTGGGTTGATTTAATACAACTGCAAAAAATTATTCAAACTTCAAGCAAAAAAGTCAAAATTTTTACCACTTTTTTGGATTTTTACCTCAGAACAAATAGAGGGATTTGTTTTATTTTTATACAATCTTGTGCGGCTGTCTTTTAGCTATCTTTATGCAAGTTTTGCCGACATGCCAACAAAATTAACTTGCTCAAAATATCAAAAAACATGGTTTTTTGGCCTATTTTTGGCCCAAAAATCGGTTTTTTGCGATTTTACCCCAGAACAATCAGTCCAATCATCTTGAAACCACTTTCAATCGATTCTACGGTCAAAAATACGTCTAGTAAGGTGTATCTGGGGTCCCTAACGTATCGAGCAGACAATGCCCGTAAGAGCCTCTACTAATACTTTTAATACTTTCAACACTACTATATAACAAATAATTTGAGGATGTCGAAAAAGAATGTCAGTCAAGCAAGTTCGCAAGTAATGCAGCACTAATTGGAAAAGGTGTGTGGGGGTGATGCGGGGTGGCCGGGTCGTGTACTCAGAAGACTAGCCATGGACTCCTGAAGCAAGTTGAGTAATTATCATTTTTCTACAATCAGCATCAGCACCGCCATAAACATCATCATTCAAATCCACGTCCACGTGACCCTACCCTGACCCTACTTTTAACCCTGCGAACTTGCTTGGCTACAGTCTGGATATCCTTAAATATTTGTATATATATATGATACTGCTGTATGTAGTGTTGAAATGTATGGTGACTACGGTCTGCACTTGAAATAGAAGAGCCTCAATAAAATAGCAGTTATTATAAGTAATGGTTTTGTGAACCACTGCAAATAGCAAATTTACTAAAACGTATTGATATGTAATTACTTTATTGCTCATTTAATGTATGACAAATTCAAATTTAAATTATACTTTAAATTTATACTGATATCTTTGATTGTCATAACTCTAAAAGTATTAACAGATGAATATTAATTTTTTTTAAATGTTTAAAATTGCACTTGAGGTTTAGCTGTGCTTTTATCATTATGCTGTCCTATTCGTGTTAGAGTGAGAAGATTATTTAACCCAAGACAGTTATTCAATGGAAATCTAAAAAGTAAAGATATCCACCTGCAGTCTTGCAAAATCCCTCTCCCCATTTTTTCCCCTGTTATCTGCCTCCCCACACATTTTTTATTAAAAAATTTATATATAATACCCGCAGACTATTTACCCTTTATATGTGTACATTCATTCAGATTTGAGATTCTAACTAATATTTGTGTGGGATTGTTTATTGATAAAGTTGAAAATTTACATTGAATTTGAATTGATAGCCCTTCCTTACCCCAACCCCTCCGATCCTTACCCCAGCCCCTTCCCCCTCATTGCACATTCACTCCATTTTACATCTCATCCAAAACAATTGACGTTTCGATATACTTTATTCATTTTCAATCAACAATCGTACTTAATAACTCATTAACTAGCCTTAAATATACTGGTGATTCCTGCTAAGCTTAACGTGATCACTGATAAATTTATGTTACTCATCTCACTGCCGCCTAGCTTGTTTCAGGTTTACTGGTCTGGTTCGATGGGTCTGACCCTGGCCCCCTCCGCTCACCCCTGTACTCCGCATCCATTATCATCATGAAAAAGACCGACAAGAAACTCGACAGGAGATCGGACCTCTTTAATTCCACGTATCGAGGGTGCAAGTCAGCTGGATCCACCCCTATTTCAAGCCCTGTTTTAAGCCGAAAAGTCACTAGCAGAATACATAATAGGAACACAGAGCCAGATGCAGATCTAACATCTGATGGAGACTTTGTAGATGTAGAGAGCAACGAACCAGCATCGATCCCAGGAACGCTACTCTCTAAGTGTCCCTGCTTTGTAGAGTCAAAGAACCCTGCAATCTTATGTGTTACTTGTAAGCAGACCTTCCATTCTAACTGTGTTAACCTTGCTGGCCTCACAGCAACTTCTCTAAAGAAGCTCAGCACTTCCTGGAAGTGCCCGGACTGCTTTATCTTTCCTTACACAAGAAGATTGAAGGAGGAGGAAAAATCCAAAGCGTTAACAGAATTCTTTAGCAATATTTCTAAGATATCAAAGTGTAATGAGGAACTCAAAGAAAGTACAACAACCATAGAGTTCTTCAACGAGCATATCAAACACCTCATACTCAAGGAGGACAGTTGTTTCAAAGAACACTCCAAAAGAACAGAACGATTAGTGACTGGAATTGAAGATATCACTGAAGACATAGCTTCTATCAAGGGTGTACTTACGAAAGTAAAGGAGAGTGGCTCAGCCCTTGAGACAACCAGCAACTCTCTCAAACAGGAGATTGATGGCCTGAAGGACTCTCTCAAAAATATACCTATGACAGAGCAACCTCCGACTAACAGCAGTACTTTCGATCATGTTGACAACCTTATGACCCAGATCAAAGTGCAATTGGAAAAGATCAATGATCATGTATGTCCCTCAACGTCCACACAGAACTTTGATGAAGGTGAACTACGTTACAATGAATCTATCCTTATGACCCCTAACACTACTTCTCCTCACTTTGCTGCATCTCAAATTCCTGAAGGCCCTGCATGTGACCCTTATCTAACTTATCAGGAAGATATAGTGCCTGTTGAGCTTCACAGCAAACTTATAAAGCTGCTGGAGGACAATAGTGCGGATTTTTCTTCGGTTGGTGGCAGCAGGGATGTTGTCTACTTTGGTGAACATGGATACTGGTACACAGGAGCCTATCATCAGGCAAAGGAAACTCCACCGGAGATACAAGATCTTTTGGACTGTGTGCGTCCCTCTCTCCCCAATAGGAAGAGCTGGCTGAACTCTTGCCTTGTTACAAGATATACAGGCAATAGTAGCCATATCCCCCAACACTGCGACAATGAGGTTCTTATTGACCCAGAATCGATAATAGTCACTGTGTCCCTTGGTGAAGAACGCACAATAAAGTTCACACATAAGTCGACTGAAAAGTCCTTAAAGCTCAAAGATGGAAGTGTATACGTGATGTCCAGAATGTCCCAAGAAATCTGGAATCATGGTATTGAACCCCTCGCTAATGAAGAAGATGGCGAGGAATCTGAAGAGAAAACTTCTGTGAGGTACAGCTTTACCTTTAGGCATATTGCGCCTTTCTACAAAAATAGCACAGTGTTAATTGGAGACTCAAACACTAAGTACATTAAATTTGGTAAAGATGTTGGAACTCTAGGAAAATGGGTTCCCGGTAAGCGAATGTGGGCTGCTAAAATCGACGATATTCCTGCTCCCAAAGACATAGGCCCCTTTCGGAACATTGTTATACATACGGGAATCAATGATATTCGAGATGATTCCAACAGACCATCCACTAGAACACTTATTGCTAAGCTTAAGAAGAAATGTTGTGAAATTCAGCAATTTTATCCTAATAGTAAAGTTCATATTAGTTTACTCTTGCCCACCAAATCACAGTTTGTTAACTCACGTATAGGGGAGTTAAACAGTTTAATTGTCGACATGGTTTATAATAGGAAAAACATGTTTATTATAGATAACTCTGTACTAGGTTCTGTTAACGGATGTATGCCCTCTAAGTATGGTAGATTCTCACGTGATGGCACACCATTGGTCAATGATGTTGTTCATCTCGGGAGAGAAGGCCTGAAAATATTTTGTATGAACATAAAACGGTGTATTGTACAACGTGGTGGAAGTCAGTCCACGGAAAGATTTAAAGGTGGAAATGGTGACTATAGGAGTGCCCTAAGTAGGGGTAGTACGGGTGATATCTTACCGATATGACCTCAATAAACTTCAATATTACAAGAGAGAGATGTCCAGGTTGTGATAGCAATGTACTAAGCCATCATAAAATCATAATATGTGAGAGTTGCGATACAATATATCATGCCAAATGTTCTGAACAGAGTTTTAAATTTGATCATGTTAAACAAATGTGGCACTGCAGTCAGTGTTACGCCTTCAAATCCCAAAGGTACAATCCTTTTAACTCAATTATCTATGACAAATATGATCCCAACACTGTAGAAAGAGACGAGGATATGGAGACTATTTCAAACATTCTAAAAGACTGTAGGTATTATAACATGACAAATTTCAACCGGCTGTCAAAAAACATACTTAACCATAACAAGCCGTTTATATCTATTGTGTTTAACAACATTGATGGGAACGCATCTAACTTTGACAGCTTTATTACTGATATGAGTCAATATGATGAGAAATTTGCAGTTATTGCGCTAGCTGAAACAAACATTAATGAGGAAAATAAAGATCTATACAAAATTTATGGTTACAGCAGTGAGTACAACTCTAAAACTGATGGGAAAAAGAAAGGTAGTGGCCTTGGTATATATATTGACAATCAGTACCAATACAGCCGAATCGAAAAGTTATGTAAATGCTCTGACAATCTTGAAACACTTTTCGTTGAGATCACTAACACAGAGGTTCCACAGATTGCTGGTGTTGTTTACAGGCCCCCTAGTGGTGATATTCAAGATGCACTTGCTGAGCTTGATGTGTTGATGAAATTTCTACCGTCTAATAATGTAGCCTTGACAGGTGACTTCAATGTTGATCTTTTGGCCCAGGGACGAAACATAGCTGAATTTGAACAAACTATCTACAGTAACAATTTAATCCCTTTGATATCGATTGCCACCCATGCCAAGCCGGGTTGCAATGAAAGCTTAATTGATAATATTTTAGTGAACTCTACTGAGCGTGTGTTAGGATCTGGAATTCTTGAATCCAAGATTTCCCATCATAACCCCATCTTCTGTTTCATATCGTGTAATATTAAAGAGAGTTCAAATACTGCCAAACTTAAACCTAAGTATGATTACTGTGAGTCTAATATAGAAAGTTTCCTTAATGATATTGGAAAGGATATCTACCAATCGAACTTTTCGTATGATGAGGAAGGTTTTGAAAAATTTGTCGAAACTGTCCACGAAAAAATCGAACTGAATTTCAAAGTGGACTGTACTGCTGGTTTTCAATCAAAACGCAATAGATTGATGAATCCATGGATCACTTCTGCGTTAATTAAATCTGTGTTTACTAAAGGCTTTCACTACAAGCGATGGAAGGCTTCGTGTACCAAAATCAACCCATTAGGTGAGGAAACTTTATATCTTAAGTATAAGGAGTATCGTTCTATCTTAAACAAAGCTATAAAATCTGCGAAAAAAGCCCACTATGGGAAAAAATTTGAACTTGCTAAAGGAAATATTAAAAAAACCTGGGAATTGATCAACGAACTCAGGGGTAAATCTAAAAAAGATATAAAAGCATCATTCTTAATTGATGGTAGAATTGTAACTGAACGCCGTGAGATTGCCAACGGATTTAACATCTACTTCTCGTCTATTGCTCGTAATCTTAATTCAAAAGTTCAATCTTCTGTACCATCTCGTACGGTAACTGATGGCAATTTCAATAAAACGAAGTTTAAACAATACCTCAAGGGCAGAGAAAGAATAGTGAACTCTTTTTTTCTCAGCCCCTGTGACGAGGAAGAGATAGGTAAAATTATTGGTAGCCTTGAAAATGGGAAGGCAAGTGATATCTCTGTTAAAGTCTTGAAAAAGAGTGTAAATTATCTGTCTGGTCATATCTCTAGATTCTTTAATTGGTTCTTGGACAATGGGGTCTTTCCAAACAAGCTTAAAACGGGCTCTATTACACCAATTTATAAAAAAGGAGACTCACGATGCCTTGATAACTATCGACCTGTTTCTACATTACCGACATTTGGCAAAATACTTGAAAAAATAATTTATAATAGGTTATATAATTACCTCAGTGCTATGAACGTGATTTATGATCGACAATTTGGTTTTAGAAAACAACACTCAACATCTCATGCCGTAAACTATTCTGTCAATAAAATACTTAATGAGATTGAACAGAAAAATCATGTAATTGGAATATTTATTGATCTAAGTAAAGCATTTGACACAATTGAGCACGATAAACTCCTGCATAAACTTGAACACTATGGAGTAAGAGGTATTGCACTAAAAACTCTTGCTAGCTATCTAACAAACCGTAGCCAAGTAACTTCTTTTCAAACTGAAAAATCGGACAAGTGTTCAGTTGAGTATGGTGTACCCCAGGGGTCAGTGTTAGGACCTCTACTATTTCTGATTTATATAAATGATATTGTGAGCTCCTCAAGTTTGGCTGAATTCGTCCTGTTTGCTGATGATACAAATATTTTTGTGATAGGTCGTTCAGCACAGGAAGCTTTTGAAAAAGCTAATCATGTAATGAAACAGGTCAGTAACTATATGGAGTCTAACAAGTTACATATAAATGCAGGGAAAAGTTGTTTTATGCATTTTCAGCCAGGTTTGTCAAGAGCAACACAGACCTGTGCTAGAACACGGCCCTTTAACAGGAATCTAACGATTTCAATAGATGGCAAAAAGCTAGAAAAAGTTCAATGTACAAAATTTCTTGGGGTGATAATAGACGAACAGCTATGTTGGGAACCACATCTTAATCATTTATCTTTAAAGCTGAACTCCAGTATTGTATCGATTAAGAGAATTTGCAAATTCATTCCCAAATCTGAATATTTGAAACTATACAATGCTCTTTTTATGTCACATCTTAGCTATTGTATAAGTTGCTGGGGTGGGATCCCTAAACATAAGCTGAATAAAATCTTTGCTATTCAAAAACGATGTATACGACTGCTATTTGGTAACATTCCCAATTTTGATCATAAAGAATACTACTTAACCTGTGCACGTTCAAGAACTTATAACGAACATATGGCTAAAAAGAACTACTGTCTTGAACACACTAAACCGCTATTCACTGAGCAGAAAATTATGAACCTGGAGAATCTGCACATGTACCATACATTTATGGAGCTATTCAAAATTCTTAAATTTGATGTCCCCCAGTCGATTAAAGATCTTTTCAAGTTCTGTCCTAGAAATGAAAAACTTCGTCTGATTGTCCCATTACTGAGGTTAGATATCTCCCAACAGAACTTTTTGTACACCTCTACGAAAATATGGAATGATCTCATCCCCTATGTATTCGAAATATGTGATGCTAATGTAGATGGGATAATAATCCCGGGGTCTTCCAAAAATTCAGACTTATCAGCCTCGTCAGGTATTATTAAATCTAACCTTAAAAAGCACTTGCTATCCCTCCAAAATCGAGGTGACCCTAATATATGGTAACTAATCTATATTATATCTCAAATTCTACATCTGGTACGGCTCTGCACACATGATATCTCTCTCTGCCATGAAACATGGCTAACCTTTCAAACTATGATTTAAAACATAAACCTAAACTAAAACTCAACTGGGCTCTCCTATGTCACCAAACTAGACCAATAAGCAATTTTAGCTTAGATAATTATATTTTTCTATATTTGTATAATAAGTTTTATATTGACGTAGTGGATGGTTGAGGGGGTTTCAAGCACAGGTCACTCTCAAATCCTAAAGATAAGCAGTGTCCTTCGGCACTTGAAACCTCTTCAAACCTCCCCTGATTTATTTATTATTGATATTGTTTGATTGTGCCGTAAAAATAAATATTTGTTTTATTAATAAATATTTGTTTTTATTAATTGTGGAGTCCAGTTGCGGCTCATGGAAGTTGGGGGATCATCTTGGAGCTGGAGAGCGTCCAGAGGCGGTTTACCCGTCTGATTGACGAGGTGGGTACTCTTCCATACAGTCGTCGACTGGAAATCCTCAATTTGACAACGCTGGCAGAGCGGCGAATACGTGTGGACCTCATTGAATCTTTTAAAATGATAAGTGGTTTGGCCAATTACGGAGCTGGTTTGTTCAGTATGAGCAGATCTGGTCTTAATGTGGTATCAAACAGTAGATGCAGTAAAAGTAGCAGTAAAATGAAGAAAGTCCACAGTTCTTTTCTTCCGGAGAGGGTGAGACCATATTGGAACAAACTCCCCTCGGATGTCGAGAATTGTGGGACTGTGTCAAGTTTTAAAATAAGATTAGAGGCTTTCAAAAAAGAGACTATTTTAAACGGATCCGTAAATGATATTCATTTTTGGTATGTTTCGGACGAAGTATTAGGAAAGATTGAGGGATTAAATTATGCTACTAATGAAGAGAAGCACAATGAATATCTTGTGTGTCATCCTCATGTTGCTAAGAAACGCTTTATTAACTTATATAGTAGTGGAAAGTATGTAAATTAGATTCATTTTATCTTGGTTGTTTAGGCCAATAGATTTAAGATATTTTTAAAACTTTAGTAGATCTATTTTTGATGATGTGTGATGATGTTTGTGTCATTATATTTTGATTTGATTTGATTTGATTTAGAGTAAGATCTACCAGATCATATTATTGTAGCCGGTCAGGAACCATCTACCAGTTGTTCATGTTAACAATGAATGGGAATTCGTAAATTTCGGTTGTATAGGTTTGGCAGGTATACCGAATACAATTAAGGTGCTGAATTTGGTAGTTGACCTGAAGACAGTGAAGTTGTGTGTCCAGGATCAAGAAAAAAAGAATACTAGCAGCATTGAGCGAACACATTAGTAATGCTATTAGCCTCAACCAATCCAGGTTTGCAAGTGGACAGCCACAACGAGTTGGTCGGTATTCTTAGAGTTGGTTAGTGCTGAAAATTGGAACACTGCACCTTCTTGCCCTTCGACAAAGTTCTGATGTTATGGTGTCTTTATTGTCCACAACAAACAACTAAAATGAACAAAGTATTGTACCTCCAGATACTCAAGACAAAATTATGGACTCCAGCTACTTCTTGTGCCTTGTATCCACCATTTACAGCTCCTAAGCCCAGACTGAATACAGTGTAGTACTATGTGAACAGTAAACTATGATGTAGATGTTCTGAAAGGGTGTCCTAAGAAGAAGGCAGGCTTCTCCTTATTTAACCCTTTATCAGGTTTCCTATCATTCGGCTGAGTCGACCAAGGACTCAGGACACATTACACAGATATGTTATTTCGCATAGATCTGCTGGATCCTTAGGTACTTACTCTAGACTAAGTTTTCCGGGGAAATAATTCCCGGAAAATATTATAAAAAATAAACGTCATTTAGAGCTTATTATTGCCCACTTGAAGGGGACGGTTAATAATTTGTTAAATTATTAGCTATTTAATAATAATGTATGTCATATTTTAGCAAGTAAGTTAAAATTTATATATTAAACCTCCTCAATGTTTAGACTAAATGGAAGATTACAAGATATGATGGACTATGGAAAAGGAAGATGAAAAACCTGTTAAGAAGCAGTCTTTATTGAATTGTATTTATGAAGAGGTAAGTAGGTAAACAGACAATACCACTTAAATGGTGAAGAGGTAACATAAATAATTTTGTAGTATTACGGGGTGCAAAACGTTGCACCCCCTTAAGTATCAGTTATTTATAATTAAATATTTTCCCTTGGATTAATTATCAAAATCCAATAATTGTGTAAATTTGCTGAACTTGTATCCACAAGGCTTGTTTTCAGATTGTGAGAGGGTCTGCTGTTAGTGAGGATGATGCAAACTATTTAATAAAAGAACAACGTATCATAACATTTCTTAGTATACCATGTAAGTCAACAAGATTAATCAACAAGTAAATATCATAACATTTCTTAGTATACCATTTAAGTCAACAAGATTAATCAACAAGTAAATATCATAACATTTCTTAGTATACCATGTAAGTCAACAAGATTAATCAACAAGTAAATATCATAACATTTCTTAGTATACCATGTAAGTCAACAAGATTAATCAACAAGTAAATATCATAACATTTCTTAGTATACCATGTAAGTCAACAAGATTAATCAACAAGTAAATATCATAACATTTCTTAGTATACCATGTAAGTCAACAAGATTAATCAACTTAAATATCATAAAATTTCTTAGTATACCATGTAAGTCAACAAGATTAATCAACAAGTAAATATCATAACATTTCTTAGTATACCATGTAAGTCAACAAGATTAATCAACTTAAATATCATAACATTTCTTAGTATACCAGTGGCGTAACGTTGCCTGTTGGCGCCCCCCTGCCGAAAAGGCGCCCCCCTGTTGGCGCCCCCTCCCCTTTTGGTGCCCCTCCCTAAAATTGAACAAATTAGGTGATTTTAGAAGATACGCCGGTAAAAATCTCTAAAAAAGTGTGTATCTAGAGCAAAATGCGCATTTTTGCTAGTACTTTAGTTAAGTTTTCGAAATTGTCCCACATTCAAACGACGATTTGGCGCCCCCCTAAGACGGCGCCCCCCTGCACAGCGGGGTCAGCAGGGCCCTTCGTTACGCCACTGTAGTATACCATGTAAGTCAACAAGATTAATCAACTTAAATATCATAACACTTCTTAGTATACCATGTAAGTCAACAAGATTAATCAACTTTATCATAACATTTCTTAGTATACCATGTAAGTCAACAAGATTAATCAACTTTATCATTGATATAAATTACAGTTCACCATTTTACCACAAATAATTTATAAATACCAGGTGCAAGTATTTAGTTTGTTGAATTAGAATCTCAGATAATCTAAGCTAATTTAATTAATTCAGGGGAGCTGGAGAAAGTTCTATATTTAGGTTATCTGGTTTGTTTGGATGCATTCTTGTTTCTCTTCACATTCCTTCCTATTCGCACTGTTTGTGCAGCGGTTAAGATACTCTTCTGGGTCCTCAAGAAGTTCCTTTTCTTGGATACTCCTCCTATTGATAAGGTATCTTTACTAAAACGGGATATTATCCAACTATCAGTATCTTTACTAAACATCAACAGCGCAATTATTTCGTAAACAGAGATTATTTCCAATCATGAAATTTTAAAATAAATATGTTTTGATCTGATAAAAACCCTTTTACCAACTTTCTAATAATTCTTCATTGTATCATACAATATTGATATTTCACGGGTCCGTATAAAGCCGATTTTGCAGATTTAAGTTACAGAAAAACTAGCGGACCTAGCGGCAATATCGGATAGCTAGCGGAAACTAGCGGATGTGTTAATGAAGCTAGTACTATTCTCCACTAGTTTGTGCGCGATGTCCACTATACTCCGCTTGCCAGCCGCTAACTATTAATGCTGCATTTTGTTGCATCTCCGTTAGGCGTCCGCTAGCCATCCGCTGGCTTTTGTATAACTGAAATCGGGCAATACGGACCCTTGATTTACTAGTTGTGATAACTAAAACCGTTCAGGGGCACATATGTGATATATTTAGGGTAGCAATAATGGGGGCTTGTATCTGGATCTTATCCTGGGTGAACATCTCCATGCTCTACCACCTGATTAGAGGACAGAGCGTTATCAAGCTCTACTTTATCTACAATGTGCTAGAGATAGTGGACTATCTTTGTCTGTCTTTTGGTGAGTCATCACTTTCTTAAGCTTATTAAACAGGAATCACAGTGTATTAATAACTTACTGCAGCTTAAACGGAGCCACAGAGGCAGCTTTACAAAATACAAACTCTATTATCGATATTTCATATTATATTATTATATTAAATACTGTATTACATTTAATTATTTTAGTACAATCTGATTGTTTAAATCCTATTTACAAACTTACATTGCTCAATTATAGAATAATTGTTGACTCTACTTAAAATGTAACGTAATCTAAGAAAATCGGGCAGTCTGTCAACCATTTACTACATTGACTCATCAGGACAAATGATTTGTACATTACAAACATATATTCCAGCTTATAGCTGCTTATTGTACGAGCTGTATCATGAAAGACTCCATGATTTAGCTAACCTACTTTATCATTATGTATAGAGTATATTAGATAGTAGAGTATACTTACAAGTAGTGTATTAACTACTACACACAGGTTTGATTAGAAAGTATACAGTCGTGTAATTACAGTGTTTAACATTACACCACCTGTTACTCTAGAACCTTCTCTTTTCTTTGTCACTAGTTGAGTAGTTGGAGCACTCTCTTCAATGTTATTATTATAACTAAATCACATGTATTACTGGAAGTGTACTTAGAACTTTACACTAAAAGTTTGAGTAACAGTAAATATACGGGTGTAACCACTAATAACCACAAGTAACCAATAGTAACCACTATACTAGTAACCACTATACTAGTAACCACTAGTAACCACTAGTAACCACTAGTAACCAATAGTAACCAATAGTAACCACTAGTAACCACTAGTAACCGAACCAATAGTAACCAATAGTAACCACTAGTAACCAATAATAACCAATAATAACCACTAGTAACCACTAGTAACCACTAGTAACCGCTAGTAACCACTAGTAACCAATAGTAACGATCACTACTCACTAGTCTTACACTTGTGTTAATTCTCCTCTAACATGTGTCATAATGCTAATTAGACCATTTTGGGACACTTTGAAAATGTGAAATTGTATTTTCGTCAGAACATTGGCCCAGCATATTATCGAGCGGAGTGTAGATATTATAAGTGGTAATGTTTGTAATGTTATAAGATGTGGTGTTTAGTATGAGTTTAATTAATTTTAACAGCAGAAAAGGGATTAAGTTTAAATATTTGAACACTAGTCTCTATAAGAAAATGTGGTTGCTCTACAAGTAAGTAACTACATTAACTCACAAACTAACAGGTGCTTTACTCGCTACTACTTACTGCTACTATTCACTACTAGTTACTACTAGTTACTACTAGTTACTACTAGTTACTACTATAACTACTTACTGCTACTATTTACTCAGGTAGTGATGTAATGGAGGCGCTGTTTTGGTTGACGATACGGAACAAGAGAAAGAAGCGGGAACATGTGGGAGTGTTATGGCACTGGGTGCTGGCCTGTATTTACACTACTATACACTCCATGTGCTTCCTTATTCAACTTATCTGTCTTAGGTAATATTTACATGATATTACAGGGCTTGTGCGTGTTATTCAGTAAACAAACTGATTAAACAGTACAAATTAGAGGCTACATATTAAAGGGTACATATTGAGGGTACTAGAAGGTACATATTAGAGGGTACTAGAAGGTACATATTAGAGGGTACATATTAGAGGGTACATATTAGAGGGTACATATTAGAGGGTACATACTAGAGGGTACATACTAGAGGGTACATACTAGAGGGTACATATTAGAGGGTACATATTAGAGGGTACATATTAGAGGGTACATATTAGAGGGTACATATTAGAGGGTACATATTAGAGGGTACATATTAGAGGGTACATATTAGAGGGTACATATTAGAGGGTACATATTAAAGGGTACATATTAGAGGGTACATATTAGAGGGTACATATTAAAGGGTACATATTAGAGGGTACATATTAGAGGGTACATATTAAAGGGTACATATTAGAGGGTACATATTAGAGGGTACTAGAAGGTACATATTAGAGGGTACATATTAGAGGGTACATATTAGAGGGTACATATTAGAGGGTACATACTAGAGGGTACATATTAGAGGGTACATATTAGAGGGTACATATTAGAGGGTACATATTAAAGGGTACATATTAGAGGGTACATATTAGAGGGTACTAGAAGGTACATATTAGAGGGTACATATTAGAGGGTACATATTAGAGGGTACATATTAGAGGGTACATACTAGAGGGTACATACTAGAGGGTACATACTAGAGGGTACATATTAGAGGGTACATATTAGAGGGTACATATTAGAGGGTACATATTAGAGGGTACATATTAGAGGGTACATATTAGAGGGTACATATTAGAGGGTACATATTAGAGGGTACATATTAGAGGGTACATATTAGAGGGTACATACTAGAGGGTACATATTAGAGGGTACATATTAGAGGGTACATATTAGAGGGTACATATTAAAGGGTACATATTAGAGGGTACATATTAGAGGGTACTAGAAGGTACATATTAGAGGGTACATATTAGAGGGTACATATTAGAGGGTACATATTAGAGGGTACATATTAGAGGGTACATATTAGAGGGTACATATTAGAGGGTACATATTAGAGGGTACATATTAGAGGGTACATATTAGAGGGTACATATTAGAGGGTACATATTAGAGGGTACATATTAGAGGGTACATAGTGATAGTGTCCACTGTGTGGTGCACATTATATTGTATGTATGCTAATTATTATTATTGTATGTAAATTGTAAACATATCGCGTTATCAAGTCTACTTTTAGTACATGGGGTACCTTTCTAACCTTAGTAGTGACATTAAGGATACCTAGCAATGTGATAATTCTATTAATAAATATCATAACTATAATATTATTTATTGATTGTAAGAGTTAAAATGTTAATACTATTCAGTGTGGCGATTAACTCGCACAACAAGAGTTTACTCGTGGTAATGACCTCTAATCAGTATATGGAACTGAAGTCTTATCTTTTTAAAAAGTTCGACTACATGAACAACTACCAGGTAAAACAATAAAAGCTATGCTTTGCTATACGAGCTTTATTAGTTTATTAAGAAAAGGACTCTAATTTAGTTTTAAATGTCGAAGTCATAGTAAATAGTTTACAATGAATATTGACTTACTTTGATCAAATTATGACGTGTTTAAGTATGTTTATGTTTACAGATAGTTGCGCGGGATGTAAGAGAGAGGTTCTCCTAATCTTTATGTTTACAGATAGTTGCGCGGGATGTAAGAGAGAGGTTCTCCTAATCTTTATGTTTACAGATAGTTGCGCGGGATGTAAGAGAGAGGTTCTCCTAATCTTTATGTTTACAGATAGTTGCGCGGGATGTAAGAGAGAGGTTCTCCTAATCTTTATGTTTACAGATAGTTGCGCGGGATGTTAGAGAGAGGTTCTCCTATACTGTGGTCCTTGTCATGGTCTTCATCAGAAACATGTCCCAACTTGGTTAGATATTATTTACTACAATATAACCATTATCTCACAATTAGAGTGGCTACTAGTTTCACGTCCTCTGATAAGAGACAGGTTCCAGTATATTGCACTGCTAAACCAGTTAAACTTACCACTTACCACTTACCTTGCTGGTTAGACTGGTTAGATTTAGAAACTGTGCAGACGCTAATCCTGTTAGAACTAAGTGATCTAATTAGATTTGACAATGTACCACGGATCAAATGACATATCTTGAACCTCCCAACCGAAAATTAGGATTTTCAGCTATTTTTGTAAAGAATGTGTATCTTACATCTTACAAATTACGCAGCCATGGTGTGAAATGTGTATGAAGTTGGAATGTGTATGAAGTTGGTGACTAAACTTTAAAAACCCGGCAGCACAAAACCTGGTCTGGAAAACCCTTATCAGTAGAGTGTAGCTGTGCAAATATGATTGCTTCTAGGAACGGTTACCAAATTACGGCAAATATTCTCCTTCTAGATTAAATATGTTGCATATGTTACACACTAATAGGAACCAGGTTATATTCTCATTATGTGTATTACACACTGTGTAACCTCCCAAAAACCTGAGCCTTGTCCGCTAACTAACTAATCATAAGATAAGGTCCGAGTATCTGCACTGTAAATTAAATACTTTAGTCCTTGTTATAATCAACTACCTGAGTATCTGTAAATTAAATACTTTATTCCTTGTTATAATCAACTACCTGAGTATCTGTAACATTAAATACTTTAGTCCTTGTTATAATCAACTACCTGAGTATCTGTAACATTAAATACTTTAGTCCTTGTTATAATCAACTACAGTGATATATATATATATTATATATATATATTATATATATATATTATCAACTTAATAACACCAGAATGTGTGTGTGTCTGTGTGTGTGTCTGTGTGTGTGTCTGTGTGTAATTTCCGAACGGTTATACAAAAAAAACGGTAATAGTTACGGGACTGGTTTTTTCGGTATAGTGCCGACAAAACTCTGACGAAGCCAATAAGCAAATTTTATAAAAATCGGCCGGTGGTAAGTGGTTTAATTGATGGTTTTGTACCACAAAATATGTTACATAAAATGGCTTGAGAAGAACGGCAAGAGTTACGGGGCTAGCTCTCTCTCTCTCTGCATATGTAGCGTATATATTACATGGCGTATATATTACATGGTCATATAATACTATAAACTTATTAGGGGAGGGAGTGCTCAAACGGTCTGTTTGGACTGTAGAGAGAGTTCATACTTTCATACGACAATGTAATGCATGTTCACAAATATGATAGGCTGGTGTGGTGCATGGTGTTAAGGGTTAATTTCTATTGATTATAGATTAAGAATTACTATCTTTTAAGCATACTATTGGATACGTGAGGGCACTCCGAATAGAATTGCTCGCCTAATCCGGGTTTTGACTCAGCGGGTAATTACTCCTACCCTTTTTAACTGCGGCAGTGAAATCCCGGCCGTAGGCCGGGTTACACTAGTATATACTATATAGTGCAACATTGCTATTCAGATAGGCGATCTGCTCTAACGTTCCCAACATTCGCTATTTATATGTATATTTTAAAATCTATTTCGATATAAGCGGACTATAAGTAGTATTTATTGTATACCCTGTTTCATTTCATATACATAAGAGTGTTGTAGACTGTCACTTTTCACACAAAGTTTTTAAAAAGCACATACCAACCTGAACATTCCTGACTCACCTGACACTGTGAGGGGACTAATTAGTGGGACTAATTACCCCTCACTGTGAGGAGAGGGGACTAATTACCCCTCACTGTGTCACACACTAACTAGAATGTTGGCTCAATGCCAGCATGTGCAAATACTACAGTTCAAATCAGTTCAACTCTAATTTCACACGTTCTAGGATGAGTGGAAGGACGATAACAACTTAGTATAAACCTTCCTTAATCTCACACATTACACTTATTTCTCCCTCAGAATGGGACACAGCCCATATGTGGGACATATTCCCTGATGTTGCTGTCATTGTCACGTGGTGTGACGTCATAACACGTGATGTGACGACATAACACGTGGTGTGACGACATTACACTTATTCCCCCTCAGAATGGGACACAGCCCACATGTGGGACATATTCCCTGATGTTGCTGTCATTGTCACGTGGTGTGACGACATAACACGTGGTGTGACGTCATAACACATGGTGTGACGTCATAACACGTGGTGTGACGTCATAACACGTGGTGTGACGACATAACACATGGTGTGACGTCATAACACGTGGTGTGACGACATTACACTTATTCTCCATCAGAATGGGACACAGCCCATATGTGGGACATATTCCCTGATGTAGCTGTGATTGTTATCAGTGAGATACTGATAGACTGGATCAAACACGCTTTCGTTACTAAGTTTAACGGAATACCTGTGGAAACATACAACGATTACAGGGTTTGTAACTAATTGTTATTATTTGTAACTAGTAACTAGTAACTAATTGTTATTAGTCACTTTCATTGAAGTCACGCTTTGTAGTGACTCTTTAGGACAAGTTCTCATTTCAAATCAGCTGTGAAATGTTTGAAACTAGAAGCACTTATCAACAAAGTGAATACTGAATACTGCCCTAGTAGGTAGGTGAACTCTATTTGATCTGACACGTGACAGTAATTATGTAATTACCCAATTAACCCATTATAATAACCACAGTACCAGCTGTATGACGACCTACTGAACCCCCAGCACTTTAAACAGACCTTCAGTAACAGGATGGACCTCATGGCGAGGAAGATACTATTTATTGCAATGCCACTTGCCTGCCTTACTGTTACTGTCTTATTAGAGGTGCGTACTGAAACCAGGGAATTTGGCAAAACTTGTGCTCGCTGATAGTTGTATTCTCTCTAAAACTAAAACAAGTCTTTATTGATATAAACGTAGTTAAAACTTGTTATTAAATATTGGATACAACATTAATTTAAAATTAATAAGCCCGCTAATATACTAGCCCGTGTTAAACAATGTCCTGCTGTAGTGTATTATTACTCTGTGCTCCAGTGTTATAAATATATATCAGTAGTCAATGACTAGACATGGTTATTGAAAATTACAAAGAACAAAATGTATATATATATGTATTACTCTGTGCTCCAGTGTTGCCCTGTACTCGCTGTCTTTATACACGTCACTCTTAATTAGCAGTACGTGATTTCGTAGGTTTAACACCTGACCACTTGTAAGCCATACCTCTACAGTGTGCGTGACATACCTGTTCGTGAGCAGGGACATTATCTGCTCCTTGTATTACGGGCTGTAATAATTAATATAATGTAATTAGAACCTGTATACTAAAATACTGACATATTTGGGGATCACCTCAGGAATTTGTGTGTTTTAGTTCAAACAAAGAATTCTTTTACACTGTAGGTGTGTATCAAGTATCTGGTCTCATATCTGAAGCGGTCATTAGCAAAACAGCAATGTTGTTTGTGTTGTTTAGGATGCTATGCTAACGACAGTTACGACGATATGATAACTAATAATAGATATGGTGTAATATACTAATATGGTGTAATATAGCATAGTCTACGGCTTACATAAATAAAACATCCTAATAATAATCTCACGGCCTGTTGTATCTTACAAGCTGAGTTAAAAATAGAGTACATATTGTTTGATGCTGCGCTGGGTAATTTAAGTGTATGCACAACAGTACAACAGTACAAAATGACACGTACTGTAAATAGTACCAATATATAGTATATACTCTAGCGGTGTACTAATATATTGAAATGTGTATCTTATTCACTAGTTGTTAAATTGGAGAAGCAATGAAACGGCATGACGTAGGTGATATCTTCGTAAATAAAATTACATCTTTAACCTACAAACAAGAAAAATGGTTAGAAACAACGGTAATTCTTACTCACTAGTTATATCTTTATTTTGCAGGTGATCCCAGATGATTTAGAGCTGGAAACCCACGAGTATCTGAAGTACGGAGCTATAACCATAGTGACACTCTTCATTGTAAAGATAATAAACATGGGACTCATACTGAGGAATGCTGAGCAGTTACGAAAAGAGCGCCCAATCTACTCCACCCCAGTTATACCTCCCATAAGGAATGTAAATTCCTCAGTTAAACTGCCTACCTTCCCTCCCTCTACCCCTACTACCCCCCTGCTCACTCCTACAGATCCCCTCGCTGCTAGCTCCCTCTCTACTATTGACGAGACTGCTACTAGTTCTACTACTAGCTCAGTAGAGCTAGTTACCCTCACTCCCTCCCGTTCTGCTCCAGATTTAACCTCACTTGAACCTCCTTCCCCCTCTAACCTCTCCCCCTCTACTCCCTCACCCTCCAACCTCTCTCCTTCTCCAGAAGTGTTCTACAGGAACACCTCCGCAGACTCACATTCCAACCATTCCAGGGGCTCCCCTGAGTCTAGTACCTCTGTCAGTTTGCCCACCCTGGATTCCCCCGATGGTATTGAGAATGAACCTCCGCTTGAGAATGTGAGGAACTTGAACTCTAATGAGAATATGGGAGAAGGACTCAGAAAGAGAACAGCAGTGAGTTTTGAAGATCAGTAATAAGCTGGTTTTTAACTTATTAGGTTTAAACGTTGTTGATTGAAGAATGAAGAGGGATACACGCGAGTGGTAATTTTTATGTCAGTTTGAATTTGATTGAAAGACGGAAAGAAATACTATTGTATGGTTGTTGGACGGAGGAAATATTTTAAAATGTTGAACTAGTTGGAACTAGTTACTACTACTAGTTACTAGTTACTAGTTACTAGTAACTAGTAACTAGTAACTACTACTAGGAACGTCTAATGATCAACAGTACCGTTTAATTCTGATTAACTTTTTGGTAGAAAGAGAAAAGGATGGGAATATTATGTATTTATTCTACTTGATATCATTTTTGATTAGGAATTTAAATCATATCTTAGATAATTATTTGAACTCTTTATAAGTTAATCTCTACATAAACTCTTAATAAAGTTGCCTGTGTTCACTTTGAACAAGTGATTACTATCTTAGCTGTTTATTACAGCTGCTTTATACATATAATAATAATTGCATATAAATCTTCTGTTCTTCTGTTATCTTGAAGTAACTTTCATAATTGAAGTAATTTTCAGTTCAGTATTTATAAAGTTGTAAGTTGTGTTGTGTTACTTTTATTCGTAGCTCTTGTTGGGTTGTTTTAGCTTCTTTTTTTTCAGTTCCTGTTTTTTTTCTAACTTTTTGAGTATTCACAAAACAGCTTTCAACTGAAGTTGTGTTGACGCACATTAAAAAAGTTAATGAACAAACAATTTTAATTAATTTTCAGTGATACTTGTAATAATTTGATCTTGTTTACACATTACGTCGAGTCTAATAGTTCTGTTTCAAGAAAATTATTAAATTTCTCACAATGCGGCAGTGAATACTCTGAACAAAGCGCAATTCTGCCTTTTGGACTATCTTTAGTTAAATTTAGTATTCAATATCAAACTACAGCTGATGTGGTGAATAATTCAACTTATTAAGTTTATTTCCATTTGTTTGCACGTGACAGCGTGTTATAAACTAAGTACTCGACTAAGTTTAACGACTGAACAGTGAACAGTAACAATAACAGAAGTAGTAACAGTAACATATAACTACCAGACATGATTAATGGACGAGGAGAGGCGGTTGAGTCTGATGTACAGAGGTCTATATTAGCTAAAAACAGGGAAATACAGCAACAAATCCTCGCTGTGGACACTGCTGACGACACTTTACAGAGGTAGTGTATTATACCACTATAATATACTATTCTATTGAGTGAAGTGTGTTGACACTTCAATTCTCACAGTTCAACATAACACTAAATGTCTATATAACTATGTATATAAATAATAACTATATGTCAGGTTGTTGCTAGATGAACTAGAGAGACACCCCAATAACTATATAAATAATAACTATATATCAGGTTGTTGCTAGATGAACTGGAGAGACACCCCTATAACTATATAAATAATAACTATATGTCAGGTTGTTGCTAGATGAACTAGAGAGACACCCCTATAATAACTATATGTCAGGTTGTTGCTAGATGAACTAGAGAGACACCCCAATAACTATATAAATAATAACTATATATCAGGTTGTTGCTAGATGAACTGGAGAGACACCCCTATAACTATATAAATAATAACTATATGTCAGGTTGTTGCTAGATGAACTAGAGAGACACCCCAATAATAACTATATATCAGGTTGTTGCTAGATGAACTGGAGAGACACCCCAATAATAACTATATGTCAGGTTGTTGCTAGATGAACTAGAGAGACACCCCAATAACTATATAAATAATAACTATATGTCAGGTTGTTGCTAGATGAACTAGAGAGACACCCCAATAACTATATAAATAATAACTATATGTCAGGTTGTTGCTAGATGAACTAGAGAGACACCCCAATAACTATATAAATAATAACTATATATCAGGTTGTTGCTAGATGAACTAGAGAGACACCCCAATAATAACTATATGTCAGGTTGTTGCTAGATGAACTAGAGAGACACCCCTATAACTATATAAATAATAACTATATATCAGGTTGTTGCTAGATGAACTGGAGAGACACCCCAATAATAACTATATGTCAGGTTGTTGCTAGATGAACTAGAGAGACACCCCTATAACTATATAAATAATAACTATATATCAGGTTGTTGCTAGATGAACTGGAGAGACACCCCAATAATAACTATATGTCAGGTTGTTGCTAGATGAACTAGAGAGACACCCCTATAACTATATAAATAATAACTATATATCAGGTTGTTGCTAGATGAACTGGAGAGACACCCCAATAAAGCTGCTTTGGTGGACGTTCTTAAAGAAATATCTCAACAAACTCTCTCCCTGCAGCAAATACCTTCCTTTGAGAATGGTAATTTTGTAAATTTCTATAAAGTCTTATACATTTAACAGCAGATTTGATAACATCAGCTTCCAGAATTAGTGTTACATAATAAAACAATTAACATTTCCTCAGAACAACAGATGATACGACTGGACAGTATGTTAGCCTCAGAGGGGATTACCCGCCCTGAAAATCCCATCATCTTCCCAAATGTAAGTTAACATCGTAATGTTACCTCTTATAGCTCTTATAGTTTTATATTGCAAAACTTCCTCAATTTGTTTATGAAATCTCAAAATTGAAACGTATTATTTTTAGATCGGCGAATCAGCAGTTGACCAGAGAGAATACCAAGAGAAAATTTCCATTCTTCGTAAAATATACCAAGAGGAAATGGCAGCGTACGAGAAGGCATGTCAGGAATTCAAAGACCCTGTCTTATCATTGTTAGAACAACAGTCCACACTGCGTCCTGTTACCCAGATAGAGAAGGAGCTGTTACTTGCAAACATTCAACACAGATTCCAAGGTAACTATTCTTACCTTATAATTTAAATTGTCGCGACCATTTTGCAATCCTTATAATCAAAGGATGTTGCAAAGTTAGCCATGATCACATAGAGTGATAAATATATATATGTCGAATGTCGATGGTGAAATGATATAATATATATAAGTATTGAGTTTAAAAACCTTGACTCTAAAAGTGGCCTATGGTTGGTCCATGTCCGAATCGGCCCCAACAAAACCTTTCATACGTGATTCTTTGTCAGTTTTTGTCTCGCGTAATCTAGCTAATTTGAAAGATAGAATTTAAAGAATTCCAGGTATGCCTGCATGGAACGCTCTATGACTTTGTATTAGATAACCAAATTGTAAAATCTCCTCAGGAATTCAGTTACAGCTTAAAGATTCGATATGTCAGGCGATCGTGGTCTTACGAAATAGAATATTTGATGTCCGGTAAGTCCATGAGAAAAGTACGTGTATTTTGAACATGATGGGTATTTCTTATCTTTATTTATCCGAACTTACTAATCAATTAGCATCCTTGGATCTCCTCAGAATAACATAATTTTTCTGGAACGCGCGATCGCCGAATATAGTTTTGATAGGGTAGCAAACAACTGTTCACAGTTGAAAACGTAGGGATTTAAGCGCGCGTGGTCGGAATTTGAGTGACTTACTTGGTTCCTGTAATAGGCTGTCAGATTTTAAGACACGTTGAATAAGTAATACAGACACGTTCATTAGTGGTATAGTTCGACCTGTTCATTCGGTCTACAGGTCCTGGGCTGGTAATTAAATTGATAACATCAGATGGATGGCTGCTTTTTACCGACATATATCTTCACAATTCAAATTTCAGACGCAAAAGACAGAATTTCACTAAAGCTGCAACCGTCATTTTGAATGAGTATTTCTATAACAATCTTGCAAATCCTTATCCTAACGAACAAGTTAAAGAGGAACTCGCCGCAAAATGCAATCTCTCAGTAGCTCAGGTTGTTATCTTAACTCATCCGCTAATATTGCTACATAATTAGGTTCACGAAAACCTTGTATTACTTTTTATCACTGTCACTTGTAACTGATGTGTAAGCCTGATTACTCTTCAGATAACCAACTGGTTTGGGAACAAAAGAATTCGGTTCAAGAAGAATTACGTTAAAAGCGAAGATGAGCTGAACGTAGAAGAGACACACGAGACTCAGACATACCCTGACACTAATCCTGACAAGGAAATGAGAGATAATAATAATCCAGACAGTTGAATCGGAGGAAACAGCCGAGAAACTTTCTTAAAGTAAAATAAATCACAGTTTGTAATTGGATCAATTCAGCCATGAGTTATTTGCTGGTATGTTTTCATGTGAGAAGATATTATTGTAAACTTCTTTGCTTGTTAAGTTTTTCTGTCGTAGAAAGAAAAGAATGCCGACATTTCTTTGCTTCAAATGTATTAAACATAATAATTCTAACTTATTTTCATGAGAATTCATTATTGCTAGGGATTTATTTTCATTACAGTATTTATTTATTAATAGCTATGTTTTATCTTACGAATTGTTTCACTGCTCAATATTATTCGAAAATATTATGAATAGAAAATTGATGCCGATTTAAAACATTATCCGATCATTAATTTTTGAAGTTTCCATTCCAAAACATCTCATCACTTTCATCATAGATTGAAGATAGCATGATTAAAACTCGGTTATCACATCCCACTGCCAGGTTAACATTGTTACCTGCGTGTCTAATGCCTTGATTTTATTGCAGATACAACAATAAACACGGTTACTTTAAGGATTTTTAAATAGAAGAGAACTGATTGCTTGTGTCTGGAAATGATCTCTCAGTGAATTATTTGCTGCTGATCTGTTTGAAAAGAGTGGGAGGCTGAAACTGGAAAAGTGACAGTAGTGATTGGAAAACGATAAACTTTTCGATGAAACGCATTTTGGGGAGAGGGCGGTATGCAAGATAACTGCAGATCCTCAATCTCAATGTATTAACCGTGATCTATTGAAGAAGATACTGAATGCATATGCAGCTTAATGCTTACTTACTAGCGCCTCATTTGGAAAACTTTGTGTGAGATTACCAAGACGTTTGCAGGAAGGAGCGATTTGCTCTCAGAGGAAAAGAGCTTATAACACGTGAGTTTACTCTTTAGAAAACAATAACTGTTTAGTTGTTCAACAAGTTGTTAAAGTATTTAAAATAAAACACCAAACAAGATATGATTAGTTAACGGGTGATACTCTAAAATATTTGTTCCAAATATTAGAGACCGTCGACGAGTCCAACTCGGCGCGTGTCTTGGTAGGTTATAAACCTACAATATGATTAGAAGATGCTTAAAAGCCAGTGTAATTTCTACACAATAGTAATAGTTATGTGGGGGGGGGGGGGGGGGGGGGTGCCGGGTGGGGGTATGTGTTAACGGGTCCCTATACCGGCGGTAACAGGTAACTAACCCTACAATTATCAGCTCCACACAATAATTCCTTCATTGATAAATTGCTTTTAACATGTAGTTTAGCCCCGTATGAGAGCCAGAAGAAACTGTAGAATTCTGACTATGAAATTGAACTGTTTTTCATTCAGTGTAAACTGTAAGCGAGTAAAACTAATTCATCGACGAGTTCACTATTTTAACAAAAAAGTTCTTCAAATTTCAATCAGCTACAAAAACCAAAAAAAATTTACTATTTATAGTAACAGTTGGTTTATGAACTCGGATTGGTAAGATTAAAGCGTAATAAATGTCCGATTCTCATGATTAGTTGAGAGTTGTAAGCGTGCCTGCCTAGTTGAGCATGCAGAACATGAACACGGCTAGATCGTAGTAGCCGGACTCCTCCATACCATGCTTCACCATCTTCCTCCACACTTCCCAGTGTTCTGCACTGTCCACATGCACTGTTAAAACTTCGTCAGCGTCTACCAGCTTCTCTGCTATATCTTTCAGCAGCTGGGGAGTAATTGGAGTTATTCTTCACTGTACAAATACAATATTATTGATAGCAACAAAAGATAGTAAATAGTAATAGTATCAGTATTAGTAAATAGTACTATGTTTACAGTATGCATTGAATTGAAGGGGTATCCTAGGAAGTTTGTTATGAAAATCAAGGGCTTTTTAAAAATAAAAATAAAGTTGTTATTTTTGTAAACTGAGTTTTATAGAATAATAACCTCAACGTCGGAGAGATCAAAGTCTATTCCATTAAAATCTGCAGGGGACCCCTCGCCACTGAAGTAGAAAGTGTATAAATTAATCATGTAGCCTACTCCAGCTGCTCGTCTTTCTCTTGATGTCAAATCTGAAAACACGAAGTTAACACACCATTCTCATAGTATAGTACATTCACGTTCTTGTATGTCGTGGTGGGTACCCTAATATGTCATTGAAATTTTGAGTTGATTTTGTCTAAGCTGTTCAATTTGAAGATTGTTTGTAGATTTGCAGAACCTAATTAAACCTTTAACCTACAGTAGTGTACCCCCCCGGCCCCCACTTACAGCGATCAGTGAGAGTCTTATTTCCAGTAGTTATGCCAGGGTACTTGATCTTGAAGGCTAGAAGATTAAGGTGGTTTAGCACATCGTTCTCCTCAATGTTGGTCACACACCCACAAACGTCAGATTCAGGGTCGAGCAGCCGTTCTACAATTCTGTACTGCTCGGCGGTCTTATCCCAGATCTCAGCCATGTGGAAGGCGTGGGTCAGTTTGTCTAGAGTGCTGAAGTTGGTAACACCCCACCACGTTCTATTCATGTTCCTCATCACCTGCATACAGAATAACGTTATAGCTAGACCGACAAATACCAGTTTATCACCTGCACACAGAATAACGTTATAGCTAGACCGACAAATACCAGTTTATCACCTGCACACAGAATAACGTTATAGCTAGACCGACAAATAACAGTTTATCACCTGTATAGTGTATAATGGGATAACAGGATAACTGTCCAGAAGGTTTTGTATCATACTCACCAAGTCAAATGTCTTCATGCTCTGTGTTGAGAAGTCTTCATCGTAACCAGCTAACGGTGCGTTGAGTAGAATCCTCGTGTCGCTCATCAGATCCATATTCACTGAAACATTTTGATATTTGTCATGCCCATATATGGTGATATGTTACTTCTGTACAACAGAGAGTGTTGTCATGGTGATATGTTACTTCTGTACAACAGAGAGTGTTGTCATGGTGAAATGTTACTTCTGTACAACAGAGAGTGTTGTCATGGTGAAATGTTACTTCTGTACAACAGAGAGTGTTGTCATGGTGAAATGTTACTTCTGTACAACAGAGAGTGTTGTCATGGTGATATGTTACTTCTGTACAACAGAGAGTGTTGTTCTGGTGATATGTTACTTCTGTACAACAGAGAGTGTTGTCATGGTGATATGTTACTTCTGTACAACAGAGAGCGTTGTCATGGTGATATGTTACTTCTGTACAACAGAGAGTGTTGTCATGGTGATATGTTACTTCTGTACAACAGAGAGTGTTGTCATGGTGATATGTTACTTCTGTACAACAGAGAGTGTTGTCATGGTGATATGTTACTTCTGTACAACAGAGAGTGTTGTCATGGTGATATGTTACTTCTGGACAACAGAGAGTGTTGTCATGGTGATATGTTACTTCTGTACAACAGAGAGTGTTGTCATGGTGATATGTTACTTCTGTACAACAGAGAGTGTTGTTCTGGTGATATGTTACTTCTGTACAACAGAGAGTGTTGTCATGGTGATATGTTACTTCTGTACAACAGAGAGCGTTGTCATGGTGATATGTTACTTCTGTACAACAGAGAGTGTTGTCATGGTGATATGTTACTTCTGTACAACAGAGAGTGTTGTCATGGTGATATGTTACTTCTGTACAACAGAGAGTGTTGTCATGGTGATATGTTACTTCTGGACAACAGAGAGTGTTGTCATGGTGATATGTTACTTCTGTACAACAGAGAGTGTTGTCATGGTGATATGTTACTTCTGTACAACAGAGAGTGTTGTCATGGTGATATGTTACTTCTGTACAACAGAGAGTGTTGTTTTAAAATTCACGTTTGGGTTTGGTCGGGTATCTGTCACTTTACACAAATATATTATATACAGGAATTTTCTGTATTTTCAAGTTTAAGTAGTTACCTGTTGGAATGCTGTTTTCCTCCGTAGCATCCTCCTTGAAGAAGTATCGGATGTCTTCCAGTGTCAGCGAGTGTATGCTATGAGCTACCATCGGAGCAAATATTTGTGATACTCCGGCTGTATTCAGGATATTTGGGCACTCTTCAGAGGTGGGAGCTGGAGGGAAATAAAATTATCTACATTTGATTAATAATCGATGCTTCCAATTTATGCGTTTTCATAAAGTATCAAAAATATTACGAGTAAAATAAGCTGGTACAATAAGGAACCGTTGGTTTCTCAAAAACAATTAGGGCCAGGGGATTACAATAGTTCTTTTAAAAAAATATCAACAAAGTTTCCTTGAAATCGATGTAAAATAAAATGCGCAATACAATATACAATATAAATTATGCATTATATCAAATTTGTAAATTTTTCCTTACTCCCAAAAGTATATTCATTCATAGCTTTATGCTGATATTATGAATATTGTTATTTATGAAATGTTTTATTATTACCTGCTCCAACAGCCCCGATAAGGATTATCAGAGAAAGAAACATCCTCTCCTGATATTAAATCTTAAAACATCTAATTTACAGCAGCTTCTGGTTTTGTTTATTGTAAAAGTTCAAATAAAGAGGGAGTAAAGGTTAAAGTACAGGTATAATGGCATAAGGCAAAATGGTTGCTGATGTAAGGTTTTTTGTAAAGCTCGACCAAACAAAATGTCACGATTCACGAAACTTATCTTCATGGTTAGATTAATTAGATTAAGATTGATTACAATCGACTGAACATGTTTCCTGGAACTCTGCGGAGAGAAATATACTAGGAAACATTCAGGTCTGATTTTTCTGTGTGCAATTGTTTTATAAGGCCAACGCTGAAATCGCGTTGTGCGCAACGCTTCTGTAGCCATTAATTCACTTAAGTCTTTGTCCGTTATTTTATGATTAAGTAAAAGTGAATAATTCGTTAAAATTGCGCAAAATTTAAAACTTTTGGTTGTAGAAGTTCTAGTTCTACTAGAACTGCAGTCAAAGGTGTATTCATGATAAACTGCTCTATTAATTGTAAATTATAATTTCTCACGCAAATCAGGAGAGATGTTTGAAATCTGAACTTTATATTAACTTATATGCCGTGAATATCTCATTATGTTAATAACTTTGTCCATAACTTATTATAAATTTGCAAATTTCATCAGATTGAGTAGTTAACGGAAAATTATCAGTACCCAAATCTGATAAAAATCTTTAAATCTTGCAGTCTTGCACATAAATTATTACGTCTTTAAATTTAAACGGAAACCTAAGCTTTTTTATTTTGAACGTTTGAAGTTCGAACTTAGAAACTTTAAAGGTTGAATAAAGGTTGTAAGGTTCGCACTCCGTATGTATACTGTATAGTTGGTATGGTATGATTGATAACAGATCACTATTAAGGAGGAGGACCTACCTATTGTAAACTAATAACGTCTAGCTGCTAGCTGCTAGCTGCTAGAAAGAAAAGGGTTTCATCAAGTATTTAGCGATAACTTACCTGCTCACCTTTCTTCAGTTTCTTTATTCTTTGACGGCCGGCAATCACGATGTGTAATCCTGGATAATACTGTATTCTGGATAGAGATTATATTGCACTAAAATCATTCATCCAACAAAGTCTCTTTGGGTTGTAGCTTCTGATACAGTGATACGTGTTAATATTTGATTTGATCTGCAATACTACTCAGCTGCAGTTATGAGCAAGAGGAAAGCACGGAATATACCCGATGTAAAGAGGTTCCCAATTCCTCTCCAAATATAACCTGTCTGGCGTCTCATTTACCCCATTAGGGTCCTTATATGCACGTATTGTGTCGCCCGATAGAATACAGCTCGATATGTACTCTGATTACTGATTACCACCAAACACGGGCCAATTGACCACTAAATTTGGGAGAAAATAAGAGGCACGGTATGGACAGTTTTGCTGTGTACGTGTTTTTGGACTCGTGTAAGCTTAGAAGTGTTTTCAGGGGAGATTGTTAGAGATGAATTTAGTATTGTAGTTTGCACATTCCAGACATTCTTGCAGTCTCAGCTGTATGAACGGTTTGATGCTTTGTCGATATTTTTTGAGGAGCGACAGTATTCACGAAGGCGATCTTGCAGACACTGGACACCGAGTAAGCTCTCATATTTGCACCCAAAATGGATCATTATTAGGAGGACCCTGAAGAAGTTGCATAACACGTGACTTATAATGTTACTTTAGAAAACAAGTTGTTAGCATTCAAAGTGTAATACAAAATAGACAGTATCTACACAATGAAATTGTTAAAAGTCTTGGTCCAAGTTCGTGTTTAAAACAGTAGATTATTACAACAAATCACAATGGGGCCTGACACTGTCTCACTGTCTCAGTATTGTTCAGACAGGAGCTAGCCTTTCATAGCTCAATAGAAATTGCTTCACTTCGATAGCAGTATGTATCTGAGAAACCTGTCTATGTCCGCTCACATTTTAGCAAGGCGTTTGATATTCTCTCAAAGAAACTTCCGTGTGATTTTATCTGAACTTCATAATTTAGATACCTTCAACTTGATGCAGAACATCATTTAATTGTGATCTTGTAATTTCATACTTCAGGTCGTGGTGGAGCAGTCTTGGACCGGTGGATGGCCACATCTTGAGCAATACTAACCACTGCTGCACCAGTGCAGGATACAGCCATTATCCAGCCTCCCAGCGTGCATGTCATATACTTGATGACCATCAGAGCTACCATGTGACCTGCGTACACACTTAGCATCCAGGAGCAGAGCCACAAGGTAGACACCGCTGATTTGTGAGCCCTGGTGCACTGCCTCCCTCCTAGCACCACGTGTACCTCCTCCACTGCTGGCAGAGAAGCCACCGCGACCAGCTGGCACCCGTACCCTTGCAGGAACATTCCCAAGTAGGCCGTCTGCGGAACTAAGTTGTAGAGGCACTGAGAGACTTGACCAGGGAAGATAAGCAGGACACCTAGAGCTGCTGATATGGAGCCTGCTGCTACGATCTTACTGGGACCACACCTTCTCTGCAACATGACTCCAGATACAGAGCAGCCGAGGAAGGAGGCTATGTAGAACACAAACACGTAGCTACTTCCTTTACCTAGAGGGACTTGGAACTCGTCGAGTAGGTAGGGAGTAGTGATTGAAGTGGAGAAACCCTCTAGAATGAGTGTCATGGCCTGAGCTAGAAGCGGGAAGATAACTTTCCATGAGAGACCTTGGTTAGTATCGGCTGCTAGTGACTCTTTCAAACCCTTACTTTCATGCTCAGCCTCAGGTATGTTTTCTTCTGCGGATTCTTCCTTCGCCTTAACCAAAACTGGATCCGAGGTCTTAGGCAAGGTAGCTAGATTGAAGAGCAGGAAAAGAACTGCAACGAAGCCAAATACAAGGAACGGTTCCTTGAAGCTGAAAGCCTCGTAGACGTAACCTCCCATAAGAATAACGAGAGCTCCTCCGAAGTAGTAAGCTCCACACTCCAGTCCTATAATCAAGTTCATGTGATCCGGGAACCACACTCTGCAACATTCCACAGTTCCTTTACTGGCGAGGAAGCCAACGTAACCGCTCACTGCTCGTTGAAGGGTGAGGACCAGGACTAGCAGATCGTTGTAGCTGGAAGGGATTAGATCCACAGCGCCTTGCCCTGCAAAACATTAGTTTTACTGCGTGGAAATACCTTACCTACAGTGTGCTTTGTGGAGACGATCCAGGCAAAATAAATAGCTCTGGTCATTATTTTGGAAAATCTTAATGAGATAATACAAACTTAAAGACCTACTACGAGCCTAGTAAGCAGTAACTACGAACCTACGCAGTTGAGTATAGCCACAGTGAAAAACATGCACTGGCACACTTTTAAGGACACGTTCTTCTTGACGAGGAGGTGGTCCAACAAGTCGTAACAGAGATTAAACACGTAGCCAACACAGGGGAACATTCCTATTAGACCCACCTGGATATTTGGGATTCCTGCAGGAGGAGTATCATCGTTTAGTTACTGTTTACTGTATCTCCATTAACTTGTGCATAATTATGCTAAATAATTATGTTGAATAAGGTTGCACAATATTTTCTGAATAATCTCACCGTATGGCAGGTTCTGTGGCTGCAGCTTACTGCTGCAACTATAATAGTAATTTACTCTACCAATACCATAGCTTAACTAAGTTAGCTACTTTATAAAGTTGCCAGTTATTATTATTACCTAGTTATTAACTAGTTTGTAGCTTAGTCACTATTTTATTGATTGCCACTAACTTTGATGATACAAATTAGACAGCTCATTACTTTTTATAGTTGCAGTCTGCAGCTGCAACAACTACTGAGGATATTTCGTAGTTACGAATAGAAAAGGTTTAACCTCTGTCGATGAGATACGATACGTAGAAGGAGATGGAGACCACCGAGCAGCCGTACAGAACGAAACTCTGTAAGTAGATAGCTGCGAACACGAACACTGCCCTCCATTTCTCAGCTCTCCATGAAGTTTGAGCCTGACTCATCTTTTTCAGTATTAGTTGTACGACCTGAACTGCAATGATTTGAACAGTTTTGGTTAGGATTGAGAATAGTGAGAATCTATACTCTATAGTCGTTGAGTTTTTGGGGATCAATAATAATGATTAAAATAGTTAGATAATTCGCGTAATATATTATACACCTGACGTAGTACTAGTAGCAGTGTAAATGTAATTGATTAAGCAATCACACACTTTTCAGTCTGATGTAATTAGCAGACAGGTGTATAATACATTAATATCACTCCCCTGTCGTGCGACTCGTGCAATAATCAAACTCGCTCATCAAACTTGCTCGTTAGATTATTGAACTAATATTAGTTAAGGTAAAATTAGTTAAAGAATCGCACAGGAAGGGAGTAATATTAATCGCGTAACCTGGAATAGATATTCGGGAAGGCGAATAAAATGAATAATGGCGTAATGTCCTACGAATTGCGATTAAACTACCAATAATTAAACAAACCAATAATTACAGAGTAATAATCGACAATCCTAGGACGAATTAAATAGGACAATTTCTTGTGTTAGAATGAAATGACTATGACTTGTGGGTGACAAGTGTGAATTATTACTCTATGAGTGCGCGAAGCACACACTACACAATTGTTCTTCTCCGATTCTCGTCTTAAACGTGAACCGTTTGGTTATGAAGATTGAAGACTGTTTGAATCGAACTGTTAAGTGTAACTGTGAAATGATATAATTTTCACAAGGATTAAAATTTGAATTAGAGACAAAATTAAAAATTTGGTGATATGAGTATAAAAGATCGGCCCAAAATTTAAGATTTGATTTTCTAACTACATCTTTAAAAATTTGGAATTTTGAAGCTCGAATTTTTTGAACCGAACAGCAAAATTTTTATCGGCATGACGAATTAGAAATTTTCGTGCTTGAAATGGAAACATACTGATTGTGAGTAAGGTGGTAGTAGGGGGGTCGAGTAGAGTTGCTATATTTAAGTGCTTCCAGTTGTCAGCGAGCCTTTTCACACTTATATGTTCACTACGTAAGCATATTTACCAGGACCACGTCCGTACGATCGAGAGCACATGGTATTACAGTTTATAACACTTGTGACACTGAATAGGGCTCAGGATTATTGGTTAAGTTTTGCCAGGTTTTATTTTAGATTTAACTTTTCCATTGGTCGCGGTAAGTTTTAAAAGTTTAAAAACCCGATTTTGAAAGTTAGGCGAGGTTTTAAATGTTTGATCTGTTATCAGATGGCTAAAAACATTTAAAATTTCCGCTGAACCTATAAACTTGTTCAACTATTTGAGTGTTTTGTTGAAAAGGCTAAAAGAGAAGTAGAACAGCCAAGTCTCAAACGTCGTACGTCGTACGGCCAACTAGCTGCAACTACAGGTTTCAATCTTATAAATGACCAGAGTTTTCATGTGCTAGGGTAGAGAATGCACTCCGATTGTTCCTGGAGGCAACTAGATTATCCGTATAGGAACTATTACTGAGGTCACAATCAACTATTATTAGTTGCGCACTGTTTATAAAGTAGAAATTATGGATACTATTGAAGGCGGATTACTGAATGACATTCTTCTTTCAAATAACAATAGCTGGATATATATATAGCTCCACAGATCAAAGGGTTGTGAGAGAAAATAAGACTCAAAATTTACTCGGTCGCCAGATTCCGACCTGATCTCGCATTGTTTTGGTGGAATACCTTCGTCTTAGAAGTAGAACAAGTATAACTAGTCAAATACCAGGCGAATAATAAAATAATGTCGCCTGAAAAGACGGGTTATTCTCGCTAGGATAATATATAGAAGTATAGGGGAACTTAGTAAACCGTGGGAGGTAACTATGGTAACATAACTGTAGGCCGGGATACTAAATATTCCGATACTATCTGGATATTACAGGGTACAGATAGTATCCCGTGATAGTTGTGCAGCTTCATTTCTAGTAGCGTACGTGTGGTTAGCCATTATACCGCTCTGCAATTATGTGGCAAATAGAGCAGATATAGCAGTCTTATCTCAAGGTTTATTTGCTGATATCGTGGTTGTCTGTCTCCTAGAACCATTAATAGAGTCCGGGGTCAAATGTAACATTTGTACGATTAGTACAGTACTGTACACGATTTGAGATTCTCGCAATTACAATTTGTTAAATTCCATCGCTGTGAAATAAGAATACTTTAAAATTAACAAAGACTGTTACTATCCAGTATCCACCATTACATGTGAGTGTGAAATAGAAGGTTTCAAAATTTCAAAAAAGTTTCCTTTCTAATTTCTATATTTTTCAATAATTAACCGTGATTACTGTCAGGTTCTCCCAATGAAAATCAAAACAAGCCCTGCCCACATTTCCTGAGAATGATCTGGAAGTTGTTCAGCGGCGTACTGAAGTTGTTGAAACTCCTGGACCTTATTCCAAGTAAGAAATTGTAAGATTTTGGTTGAGATAAAAAGTTTAATTTCTTTTCGATTCCAAATATAAATTCCGTGTCCGTCAAGTAGGACTCTCTTTTTCTAGTTTAAATAATTAGACATGATGAGATATTTCTAACTGTTAATTAACCACGTTATACTATGCCACTACACATTATACTGTGCCACTATACCACTACCTTTAAAGTTATGTAACCCTTTTAGTATCACAATTGTATGATAGTTGACAACGAAGCCGTAAAAATTAAATTATAAAAACCAAAAATACCTGCAGCTACCGCTATTGTTATGGCAACAAATTAATTGGTTTAAATTCGTTTGTGTAAATGACTCAACAACTAATATTATTATTACCGGAGTTTCTTTTCTAAACATGGAGCATTTTCCTGGAGGGGTTCTTGAAGCATTTTTAGGTGTAAGTTCGGTTTGACGGCATTTTGTAAAAAATATAACGAAAAAGTTTTAATCTGCAAAATAAGAAAAAATTTACTATCAAAAGATAAATTACTATTTGGTTGAAAATTGATTATAGTGCTGGGTTCCTTTTATATTTCTCTTACATTATTATTAAGCTTAAAGTAAAATTCAAACAACAACACATTATTAAAGAACGTCCAACCAAACTGTGTCGATATTTTCCCACAATCGACAAGACCCCAACAAAAACAATTAATCAACATATCATTTAAATATCAATTTATTTTATCAAATGATTAACAAAATGATTTAGTTCAGTCCTTCTTTCTGGAATGCTGGTATATCTTCTTTGATATCTTAGAGAGCACCTCTAGTAAAGTAAACACACTGGCCCCAAGAAGCAGTCCCATCATACCACCTACATCCGCTGCAAGTTTACACGTGTCAGCAAGGAATAATTAGCAAGGAATAATTAGCAAGGAATAATTAGCAAGGAATGATTAGCAAGGAAATATTTGAAGCGGCACTATCCTGTTTTAAGGGACTTATCTTTTAGTATGACACGGAGGGGAGGGGGGGGGGGGGGCATTACACTTAGACTTAGAGCAAGTTGAGGACAACAAAAAGTTATACTTTAGTCTTTAAATTTAAATTTTGACTTAAAAGAATTTACCTAGAAGGTTCCAAAAGTCATAAGCTGGAATTTGAGCTATTTTATCCACGTACATGTCAGCAAAGAATACCTCTATTATCACATTGTTTTCTCTGAAAAGATTGGTATTAAGTAACTCAACAATAAAAACCTTTTTATGGATTTAAAGCACTCCTTTTATGGATTTAAAGCACTCCTTTTGTATTTCCCATATTTTTAGCATCAGAACATTGTGTTGCTTGAATCAGGAACATTGTAGAACATCTAAATACTTAGTACTACGTGATTATTTCAGCGGATCGCCTAACGATGAATTAATTAATTAATTAATTAAGTAGAAAATAATAATTATAATTATAAAACAATAATAAAACTCTTACAAATAGTCAGTAGCTGTGTAGTTGAAGTTAAGGCCCTCTTTCTGAGCCTTTCTGATAGCCCACTCCTTGCTAAGAGCAGTGGTGGTAGTTTGTAGTGAGTAGATAGTGTTCTTACAGGGTACCGGACAAGAACACTCCTCCTCCTTCTCCGGCTTGTGGTCCACGTCACTCTCCTTCAATACTGGGAGGAGGAGGGGGTTAACAGTTATATATAAGACGAGGCTTGTGGTCCACGTCACTCTCCTTCAATACTGGGAGGAGGAGGGGGTTAACAGTTATATATAAGACGAGGCTTGTGGTCCACGTCACTCTCCTTCAATACTGGGGGGAGGGGGTTAACAGTTATATATAAGACGAGGCTTGTGGTCCACGTCACTCTCCTTCAATACTGGGGGGAGGGGGTTAACAGTTATATATAAGACGAGGCTTGTGGTCCACGTCACTCTCCTTCAATACTGGGGGGAGGGGGTTAACAGTTATATATAAGACGAGGCTTGTGGTCCACGTCACTCTCCTTCAATACTGGGGGGAGGGGGTTAACAGTTATATATAAGACGAGGAGTTAAATTAAGTTTATCTATCTAAAGGCATGGAAAATGAGACAGTTACTAGTATGGAGGGGGGGGGGGGGGGTTACTACTACTATCACTTGAGGAATGTTGAAGAGGGGAGTGCTTGACTAACCGAACTTGTAATAAGCAGCGAACCCGCAAGTGTAAGTTTCCTGTAAGTTACAACGTCTGTAACCGTGTATATTGTGTGGTGGTAACCAGAGCACACACCCACATTCTTTTTCTAAGATCCTGCAAAAATTGTACGAACTAAAGTACTGATATCTTGGTACGAACTAAAGTAGTGATATCGTGGTACGAACTAAAGTAGTGATATCGTGGTACGAACTAAAGTAGTGATATCGTGGTACGAACTAAAGTAGTGATATCGTGGTACGAACTAAAGTAGTGATATCGTGGTACGAACTAAAGGCACATCTAATTCTAAAAACACATGATTAACAATGTTAATAGTATTAAACTGGATTTAACTAATAAATACAGCTACTAACTTGTCTCTACATTCCATGTGACAGGACTCCAGATCGTAAGCTCCGTAACTGTTAGTTTTTCTGTTCACGTCGCATTTTCCTCCTCTAGACACATCTAACTCTTCCCTCTGCAAAGTTATTTTATCAGAGACATTTACATACATCAATTTTTAATCTTAATTTTAATTTTCAGTACGTTTTACCTAACAATATCATATTTTAGCTAGCAGAATGGTTTTCAGAGGGCATTAATGAAATGTACTATGAGCTGGTCCCAAGTCCAGACGCCATTTTATTCTTTGTAATTTTCAATAACCCTGTCTAGTCATTGACTACTGATTTACCTTATTCTTCTCGGATCGCTCCATATATAATATTTAACATTCGTGGAAATATCACTGAATCTATCAAATTAGTATAAGCTAATTTAAAGGTAATTGCAGCTAATTGCTAATTGCTATAGTAACCTCAACAGCTCGGACCCCAATCTTGTACTTGAAGCCGGGACTAATCTGGATACCAGTATTCCTAGTCACACTGTATTGGGTGTGGTGGTGTATCGCTACTGTAAACAGTACTTCATCTGGGGAGATACAGGGGTTTAGTGGTGTGGTGTGGTGTGGTGTGGTGTGGTGTGGTGTGGTGTGGTGTGGTGTGGTGTGGTGTGATGTGGTGTGGTGTGGTGTGGTGTGGTGTGGTGTGGGGTTCAGACCACTAATAAGTAATAAAGAATAAAGATCCGTCTCCAAGCTGAAAATGTGCCCATTCTGATTTCAATAAACTACGCAAGTGACATTAGCGCGTAATGTGTAACACGTGTTTAGGCTTGATGACGTTCATATTACGTTATGAGAAGTGGTATCTAGGTAATAACGTGGTAGCTAGGTAACGTGTAACTGGTAGCTAGGTAACGTGTAAACACCGCCCACCCGGAAGTAGGATCTACTGATGATCATATAACGAAACAAGGCTGTACAATACAAAGCAGTAGTAATGTAGAACGTGAGACCAGGTATAACGTGGGCGGTAATCACTAATCAGTTACCAGTAGACTAGAGACCCGGTAATAGTAATACAATTAGTGGTAATTAGTTAATATTCACACACCTAGCACTAAGTACTCTCGTCGGTTAACATTGAGTCTCAGATAAATAGAGCCGTAGTCGCCCGCTTTGGATCGTATCACTCCCTTTGGGTTAAATCTGAAGCATTTTCCCGTCGGCCCAAATTCCTGGAAGATCAAAATCGAATCTGCTGTAAAAATTCTAGTGTAGAACCACGATTTATAAAAGTAGTAAAATTTATAAAGATAATACATGATCACTGGATCCAAGAGGTGGAATATGGATATAATTACCAGATGATAATTAGTTAATTAATTAATTAATTAATACTCGATCTGCTCACTGACCTGGAGGACTATGTGGTCTTTGCTAAAATGAAGGTCTTCACAGTACCTCACTCCTGCGTGGTTGCAAGCTACTGCTGTCTGCTCCCAAGTTGATGAAAACCTGCAATATATCTTACTACACTAACGGAGACAGGGTATATTATATACCCTGTCTCTCTACCAGATACCGGCCACCGGGCCTCTTCTTCCCCCAAAACATTATTTCAATTGGCCTGCAATCAGCCAGAAAAATGGCAAGCGCATAACAAATTTGGTGGTGTTTTGGGCTATAAATTGGCACACTTATATAATTTAATTGATAAAAGACTGACTGATAAATATCGTAATTAGTAAGCTCCTTGTAAGTGTTGTAAGGTTCCTGGCTCCAGTCTACAGCAGGATGGGCCCAGGGACTAGACACCACCTTCCACACCTCTGCCAGGTCCTCATGCTCCTCCATATACGACTTGTTTACCTGAACCATTGGGAACATTATACAGTGTAATATTTCCAACATATTGTAAAACAAATAACATCTCCTATTTTACTGTCAGAATAAACTGAACAGTATTGTTTTAGAAGGAATAAGAGTATTCCTCAGTATCAATATAATCTCAAAAAGCAAGTTAGCATGTTGCAATATACCTTGTTAAGGTTACATATAGATATGGTTGGGAAAGGCATTGATCCGTTTTCTGATCTGTATGTTGTAATCTGTGTTCTGACTGGTTTCTCCAGGTATTTACCCAGGCTCTGAGATATGTTGTAGATCGTGTACATTATAGCGCAGGCCCAAACTGAAGATATTGTTTTATAATTTACTATCACATTTCTGCAATGTTGTTTATTATCAAGGCTCTTCACATTAAGTTGTTTGCTACTAATTATTAGTGTGAACTGTGAGATTACCTCCTAAATAGGCCAGGTAGAGTCCCTTCTTGAAGGTTCTAAAAACCGATTCTGTAAAGTCCACACTTTCTTCTTCACCTTCATTGTCTGGCGAGGGTTTGGGACTGAAATACAGTTAGTTTATCAGGACAATTCTTATAATTCATTTTAAACATTAATGCATGTGTTTTTACACAATGTTCAACACAGTGCTTTTCGTAGTACGGTTAATTGGGACAGGGTGTGGTACAAGACAGAGTACATGGTTCCTCTTCTACTGGCTTCAAATCAGGATTGATGGCTGACCTTCCCTCTAGTTATTATTGGAGTAGAAAGTAACGAGTTTAATAAGCTTGTTTGGAATCAGAGTCCCGTTTATAAGCCGTATTAAAAAGAAGAAAGAAACTAAGATTGCACGTGGGCGTGTTTTCAACAAGGGGAGAGGAATATCTACTCACAGAAACAGGTCTTCTAAAAACTCTTTTAGTCTGCAACCCATACTGACTGGTTATCAGTAGTAGTAACTACAACTGTTATTTAACTATCCTCCACAGTAACATCTGCTTAAGATGAAAGCAGCCATATAATGTCTTAATTTGGAAACAAACAACTTTCAAAAGCTATAAAACTGTACAGTATAAAAAAGAGATAATATGTTAAACAAAATGCAGGGAAAACCACTCCTAGAATCGATAGTAAAGTTTGGCGAATAGCGAAGAAATACACCAGAAATTACTGAGCCAGAGAAGAAAATTACATTAAGAATTAAGTCTTGTTATTGAAAATATCCCAATTAAATACCCACTATTTATATTTGAACAGTCGTCTTAATAATTAGGTGACAATTAGGTTAATTATAAAACTGAGAGGGTGTCCAAAAACGTTCATATTTTTGGCCAATGCCGAACCTACATATTTAAATAAGCCTTGTTTCTACAAAGAGCATGTCAACGTACATTGTTGGCCCTCTTTTAGACGTATATTTTGGCATTATATAGTTTAATCGGACTAGATAAAACTACACCAGCGCCGCTAGGTTGTTTTCATAAAAGACTAAGTACAGTGTTTGAGATCAGTCTAAAATAAAACTAAAAGACAGACTCAGATTGAAAATAGACTCACGTGTAATATTAAGTTATTAGAGGTTAGTAATACCTGACGATAGTATTAATATTGAGTAAGACATGAGTTATACCATTATCCTGAACAATGAGCAGCCGAAATTTTAAACGGCTTTTTATTTATGAGGTATAGTGAAATAAGGGTCAACTATTAGTATTAACTATTAAGGGTTAAACTTTTAGTCTTAGAGGACCGATAAAATGTATCAACATTTAGAAACTGTTGAGGTCAATAAATCCAATTCAAATGAAGCTGTAGTTAAAAAAGAATGACAATAACAATTAATCTAACACTTTGGTTAGCGGTCTGCTATATGATTATGAAGAAGGAGTTCCTAACACTTCATAATTTGTGTTTTGCGCCAAATTTTATTCGTATAATCTTTTAACTGTTTGCTTTTTAGATTGATGAAAAATGTTATAATAATGATAGACGTGCACGTGTTAATTGCACGTGCTAACTGCACGTGGGCACGAGTTAACTGTTAAGACGAGTAAAATACAACTCTGGCAAATCAAAATGAAATATGTCCGGGGAGTTAACGATTGTCTAAAAGGGAGTGATTTAAGCTCACTACACACTACACAGACACAGTAGATTCACGTGTAACATTTTAAGGCTTCTTGACTGAGAAGAATTATATAAATTCATTCTTGGCAATCAAATTATCATTTTATGATATGGTTAAGTCTCCAAATCAAAGAATGAAGAGAAATGTAAAAAATTCGGCTAAGTCACCCCTTTTCCGGTCGGCACATTCGATTATACACAATAATATGATTTAAACACACAGCTACAACTTATACGTGGTTCACATTATGTACCACCGCCTCTGCAGTATGTACCATTGAAGGTAATGTACCCTTTAATATATATTATTATAGACGTGGTACACAATGCTGACACTATAACTTAACAACGCTCTTTATAATCGATATCTTTACTACCTCTCTACTACTACTACGACTATCTCTTTAACAGATGTAAATATTCCCATACCTCTTCTTATTATGAAAGAGCTAATTTTATAATCGGTTTTTGGGGAGACCTGTGGCTGCAGTTGTGGGAAGGGGTAATGCAACGACCATTAATGTCAGTATTTGAGATTTTTCCGAAACTGACATTGTCATTAATGGTCATTAATGGTCATAAATGGTCATTAATGGTCATTAATGGTCATTAATGGTCATAAGATATCTCAAATTTTGTAATATCTGGCAGTAGCCTTGACTAATTGAGGGGAGAAATCATGTTTCGTACGGAGATCAGCGGCTTAGGTCAATACAGATGAACGGATCAAAACAGCCAGTCAGAGCGAGCTGTCGAAGTGGGAGTACCCGCCAGTATTTTACTTCAACAAAACAGGAGACTTTCCCATGCAGGACATCTGTCATGAGTTGAAAAAACTGGTTAACTGTCTCCATTACCTCAGTACTAGATTCATCATAATGGCCGATTCTGATTCGATCGAAGACACGAAATTCACCCTAAACTGGGGGATGATTCTTAAACTCGCTACGGAAAGTGAAGAATTCAGAGACTCTGTATCCCTTACAACTCTGCAGCACTCTGATAGACAAAACCCGCAGTGTGCTGCAGAGCTAACGGCTAAATGGGATGTTCTAAAACAAGCAGGATTTCTGAGCCTCTCGGCCTATCTTAAGGCCGGGTTTTTGCTCCTGGCAGCGTTTTATGACAAATCGCTGACTGTTTCAGAAAGAGCTGAAAATGCGTGGACTGTTTTCACGTTCTTCACTCTGTGGGGAGAACACTCGAAGAAATTAAATACCAGCGAGAACTTCATAACTAGAGAAAGCTTCAAAGACTTAATATCCGCAGCTAACGGACTTGTCTTGTATTTTGTCGACTTGATTTGTAATCACCCCAAAGCACCAGTAGTACCGTGGTTTTTATCGTCTGATCAAAATGAACAACTCTTCGCTCGAATCAGGGTTGGACGGCACTCCGGTAGACGCACACAAATCGACTCTACAAGAGTCCCTGAAGCCATGGGTCGTTACAACCGACTATTAGAGGTGGAGAATACGCTTGATGTTGAATGTGGTACAAGTGTTCATAAAACCGCTCATACCCGGGGGAAGACACTCTTTCGTTCTGAGTGGAGCAAACATCCAGAGAAAAAGATTGCTGTTGATTTTGGATGTTCGGTCAAGATGAGTAACCTTATAATCCAAAGCTTAAAAAGAGGATCCAAGATTGGAGAGGAACTCTTTGTTTCCTCTTCTAGTTATGGAAGTTCGTATCTTTCAGGTGATAATGGAAATGTTATTTCTGAAAGACGGCGGAGTCTCCAATTTCCACTCTCATATGGTAGTGAACAACAATCAGATGATGAATCAGACCATGAGAGTGAAGACAACTTTTCTGATTATGAGGACGAAGAGCTGGTTGATAGCTCCACTAAGGTCGTGACCAAATATTGTAACCAAGGCAAGACCAACTTTGGTGCGAAAAGCCGAAGGAAAAGATTTTTTGGTCTTGCCTTGGATACAAGTATTGGGTTGTATCGCCCAGTCTGTAAAGGTTTAGCAGAACCAGAGCTATGCAACGCTCAAGAGGTGCAAGTTTGTGGAACAATAACTGGTATACTCATAACAGGCAAGGATGAAAAAAGAAGGCGCACGGTTGTGCAGGGCAAAGTGCTTTCTATATCTGTTAAGACATCTAAAGCATCACAAAGAAAAGGAAATGCTCGGTCGGGAGAGAGAAGACCTGCGGTGGCGATCTGTATTGAGCACGATATGTCTTCCCAGTGTTGGGTGAAGACCCAGGATGGTTCAATAATAAGTTTAGATTGGGAGAACGTTGTTGTTATGGTATAATTGGGTTAGTTGTAATATGTAGTAATATCAGTGTTTGAGAAAGTTGTAAAATTAACTTTTCATCCTCTTCCAAGACGTAAAGTACCGTCTACTTATTGTTAGTTAACTTTAGGTAGGTTCTAAGTGGTCCTCGTGTCCGTCCTTCTTGTTCCAGGAAGTGCGGAAAAAAACATGACCATTAATGTCAGTATTCGAAATTTTGGCAAAACTCATTAATGGTCATTAATGGTCATTAATGGTCATTAATGGTCATTAATGGTCATTAATGGTCATTAATGGTCATTAATGGTCATTAATGGTCGTTGCATCACCCCCTGTGGGAATGCAATAATCTTGACAAACTTTTAAAATGTCTGGACGATCTTATTTTTCATTAGATGATTACATTAAAAATAAATAAATTCCATCATTAACCACACCAAGTTATTAAATTAAGAATTAAGGGGATGATCCATCTTTGAAATATTATAAAACAAGATATAAAAAAAAGGTTCAAGTTTTCACGACTATTAAACGTTTATACCGCATGGCCGCGGTCACAGAACAGCGATAAACAGATAATGTTGATCACAATGGAGTAATGACTCAATTTTAGAATTTTATGTGCCACGTATTTACCAGAGCTAGGTTTGAGACTGCCGGGTGTTTTCTAACCTAACACTACTAAGTACTATATATAATAATAATACTACTAGCAAATTAATAGTCAAACTAATAAACCCATGAACTCTGGTAAGAATCGCAATAAATTAAAAGGCAAACGATTTTTTAGGCGTAATCAAAATAAATTCAGCATAATAGGTTTCTCTGAATTAGCGCACACTGTTAAGTAATAAGTATTGCACGTGCGCTTCA